ATGGTGCTATGGATCCTGGAACACAGGCCTCTTGGTATGTTTCCATTGGCAAAAGTTAGGTCAAATCTGTAATAGGTTCACCAAAATATCTTTCTTCAAATCAGTATTTTCTGATGAAACAATGTTTAGTTGGACAACATTTGTCTAGCTCCACTATTGATCTTTTTCCCCATTGCTTGTTTAAATGTTCTATGGCAATCAGGTAGCCGTTATATTATCTGCATTTTATGTTTTGGCAGAGATTCCTGCAAGTTTCAGAAAGTTGTTATAGCTTCTTCTGATCAGATGATGACCGTTCAAGTGGGTTGCTACAGGAATTCTCACTTTCAGGAAAGAAGTGGTTGAGGAAGAAATAACATTGAACTTTGTAAAGGCCTCAGATGAATGTTCATGACAAAAGTGTGCCCAGTAGTCTTGGCTAATTGTACACAGCAATTTGACTAAAGCCAGGCAAAAAACTGATTTTTCTATTGGCTGACAATTCTGAAAAGTTAAAAAAAAAAAAAAAATGTTCTGGTCTGATGAAATGTTTCATTTTAGATGTTTGTTTACTGTTTATAAGAAGACTGAAGTACATTTCTAAATGAAAGGTTCAGAATAAAAAAAATCAAATATCTAAATGAAATGTTTAGGCTGGTGGGAGGTTAGGTCTCTCCCCTTCCCCCCCCCCCAAAAAAAAAAACCCCCTCCCCCAATAAAAACAATTCAGCAAAATTGACAGGAATTAACAAAATGTTTTGGTGTTGCCAAATCTGCAAATTCTCCACAAAAAAAAGTTTCAACTGAAAAATTTCATCCAGCGCTGCTTATAATGAAACGTTCTATTGCATGGAAATTCAGTTAAGGTAGCCAAACTACCTCAATTCTGCCCTCATTGCAATGGCATGAGAAAATGAGACTACCTTATCTATCCAGAACAGGGTTAGTCTTGTACAGTAGAACCTTAGAGTTATGAAAGCCTCGGGAATGGAGGTTTTCATAACGCTGAACAAAACGCTGTGATTTTTCTTTCAAAAGTTTACAACTGAACAGTGACTTAATACAGTTTTGAAACTTTACTATGCAGAAGAAAAATGCTTTTAACCATCTTAATTTAAATGAAACAAGCACAGAAAGCTTCCTTACCTTGTCAAATCTTTTTTTAAACTTTCTCTTTTTACTTTTTTAGTAGTTTACATTTAACACAATACTGTATTGTATATGCTTTTTTGTCTCTGCTGCTGCCCGATTACGTGCTTCCAGTTCCAAATGAGGTATGTGGTTGACCAGTCAGTTTGTAACTCTGAGGTTCTACTGTGTGACAGCAAAAGCTAGAACGCTTCGCTCTTTATCTTGGGCCTTCTTTATGGTCATTTCTCGTTCACCGGAAAGAGGATGATACAGATGACTGATTTAGACAAATATTGTGTGTCTTCGGACAGCATAGCTCTTAGTACTGGAAAAATGCATGTACCAAACCAAATAGGAAAGTGGTCTACGAAGCTTTTTTTTTTTTAACTACTCAATATGTAGAGGAATGAAGATAAAAGTTAAATATGTTACATGCATACTCAAACTACTTTAATAATTTTGGGCACAATCTAAAATATAGGTGTGCATTATCAATAATTGCAACAGGTGGTTAGTGGGGTTGAGAAAGGAGAATCAATAACACGGTGGTTCAGGAAGATGCTGTAACCAGCCCAGAGAGTTGGTAGTTTGATCAGTGAGGGGCCTGTGAGTTTGGTCTTGCTGGCTACTTGTGGTGGTTCAGAATTCTGGTGGTCTGGAGGGGTGATTAACCATGATTTGGAAGTGCTCATCGCTGCCCCTAATTGTGTCTATGTAATATCTATTCCAAAATAATTTGTTACAGTAATATTCCTTGAGCTGTTTTAAGAACAGAATTGATTCCCTTTATTCCAGGCAGCCTTCCAGTTTTCTCAAAACAAGACAAAAACGCAATCTGCTAATTATACTTCGAAAATGTAAACCGAAATTCTTTTACTCTCCAAATACAAACCACGATGGTATCCTTACACGCACAAGTGGAGTGAATGTGCACATAGGATTAATGTGCGCACGGTTTCTAGCCCCTACTCTGTCAGAAGAAAAATAAGCTGCTGTTTTAGTGTGATTGTTCTAAAATGGTGACTTGCCCATTGGCCTACTTGCAGCCCACACTCTCTTTTAGAAAACAAACACATTGACGATTTTAAGATTTGTACTTCATAAACATAATTTTATTTTGAAAAATTATTTTGGGTCTGCTAAGACTTGATGAATTGTTTGATATTGTAATCTAAAATTAAATAGTTTTTAAAAAATGCCTACACTTTTCAGCAGCCTAATGTTACAGAACTAGGCCACAGTCTGCACTACAAAAATTAACATGCTTAAACATGGGGGTTAGGATGATTTGGACACAGCCATGTTTATCACTTGTTTTGCATATGTGGACAGAAAACATGTTCTGAACAGGACACCCAAATTTTAACACTGGTAGATATCTAGGTTTGTAACATGGTTCCCCTATATCTCTCTCCTGACCATACTGGTAATATATAAATTTAAAAAAAAAAAACCCACACCACACAACACTTTTTTAGTAATATGATTTAACTATAAGTATGCTAGACAACCATAATTTTGGTAGTGTAGACTGGAGTCTTGTTCTTGTCTTGGTTGACTCGGAACAAAAACAGTATAGGGGAAAATATTGCCAGCCTGTCATCTCTTCATGACAAACTCTTTCAAAAACGATTGGCTTGTATACTAATATACTTGTATATTAATAAGTACAACTACTTTTTTTTTGGCTTGACACTTTCCTCATGATATATTTTTCCACCATCCTTTTGGGACATCAGAATTTCTTCATCATTATCTCTTGTCATAAGAGACTGAAATATATTCTATTAAAATGGCTTTTGTCATTGAAGAATGGGAGAGGGGGAGACATGGATATAATAAATGCAGTGATGATGTGTATGTAAAAAATAAAATATATAGAAAATAAACTAGAAATATGAGGAAACTTGATTTCTGCATATGATTTATAGAAAATTGCAAGATCAGGCTTGTTTAAATAGATTTATACTAATTCTGTGTTAATAAATGGATTTGTTAACATAGTAATACAAACAATGGTGGGTTATTTTCCTTGCCTCATTTAGTTTTGTTTTAATAATGGGTAGAATGGGGATGCTAATGTAAACAATAAAGAAAGCAATAGATGCTATATAGTCAGTAAAGGACTGACTGAGTCATTGAGTCTCTCTCTCCACCAAACACCAGTTTTGATATCTTTGGCAAGTTATTTAACCTTGTGCACCTTATTTCCCCATGTGTAAAATGGGGATTCTTACCTACTTTAGACCTTTGAAATACTCCCATTAAAGGATTATATAATTTCAGAGTTTCACTCCTACTCTTTTGTAATTAACACCATATGCAGAAGATGGTTTTCATTTAAATCTCAAATTAAACTCTTATTTATGATCTAGTTGAGCAGTCAATAGGTGTGAGTGTATGTACGTAGAACTTAAAATATCCAAATCTACATTGCCTTCCTCTGGGTCAAATAGAGACATTTCTTTAACTTCTGCAGAATCTAAGCTTTCATTTAAAAAAACAAACAAAAAACCTAGCCTTTATGGTGACAAAGAACCTTCTAATCACGAATAAAGTATAAATCAATGTAGCATTTTACTAAAACTGTAATGGAGAGTTCCGTTGCCTATGTTGCTATTTGTAGAATTTCCAAAGCTGCAGCAGAGAAGGCTGATCACAATCTGACTGCAGTGGACTCCAGAATTTTGTGGACTGCAGTGAAACTGAAAAGAATTGTCACTTTCATTCTGCTGCTCCTTGAGAAAACTGAACAGTGGCTGAAGTAGATCTTGACCTATTCAACATAAAAAAAGAGGGCAGAGTAGTGGAAATGTGCTCCTTATAGCAGCTGGAAAGCTGAGAAAGATATAGGAAAGCAGAAACTTCCTAACCAACCCTCATAGCAGACAGGAGGCTTTGGGTTGGAAGGGAAGAGGTCTGAGTAGAAAGAGAATATATCTTCTCCCTTCTGGCAACCATAGGAAATTTTGTGGTGGAGGAGTTATCAGACATATATTAGCCAAAGACTGACATCAAGCAGAATGGAGGGAGGGCACCCTGACAGGCATCCCAGCTCATTACTTTCAGAACATTTGGGATGGGGACAATTGACTTAATTGAGTGTTGCATGTGGACATTGAAGATCCTATCTTTCATATTGGTCTTTCTCTAGCAGAGGACAAAACCTAGCTTTTAGCTGTTAGGTAGAAGAACTTCAAAGCCTTGTCTGTCAGTGATTGGAGATGGATAGATGCATATGTGGGTTGGCAGGACACTAATGAGAATATGGGAAATGTTTTAGTAGCAATGTACTGTAGAGATTCAGTGGGTAGACCTGAAAGTGATTATTTAGCACAATTGCATACCTTCCAAGTTACTATTTTTAATACAAATTGAAACTGTAAAGCATAGTCATCTGTGACGTTCATATGTAAGTTAAAAATAGGTTAATGTTTTAATTATTGGCGGTAATGTAGTGGGGAATGAAGAGAATTATTTAAATGTGTTTCAAACATAAGTATGTAAATCATTTTTAATGGAAAAAAATTAATCCACTTTATTTTTATTTTTTGCAAATCACTAAATGCATATTGTTTAAAAGTTCGCAACAAGGATGAATAACATCTGTGTTGCTATTAATTGTACCATTTGAGGGATTTAATTCGTATTAAAAATGTGGCTTTTCCCCAGAACTTCCTTTGACATCAGACTTTGGGTTGTCTCTCCTACACCCTCCTTGGTAAAATGCAATAATTTGTATGTCCTGCCCCTATTTAATGTCATAAGTGCTCAGATACTGTGTCAGTTGGGGTTATAGAAGAGTCTCTAAATAAAGCTGCTCTCAATTCTAATTTGTGAGGTTTATATTTTTTCATTCTAATATGTTTTAATGTTTTACATTTATTTAGGTCTCTCCTGTAGGAATCTGTGCTTAAACCTGTTTCTGTTGTAAGTTTACCAAAAGATTAAGAAAATGCCTCCAAGACCATCATCTGGTGAACTATGGGGCATCCATTTGATGCCACCAAGGATCCTTGTAGAGTGTCTTCTACCTAATGGAATGATAGTGACTCTAGAATGCCTCCGTGAGGCCACACTATTGACTATCAAGCATGAACTCTTCAAAGAAGCAAGAAAATACCCTCTTTATCAGCTCCTTCAAGATGAATCTTCTTACATTTTCGTAAGTGTTACACAAGAAGCAGAAAGAGAAGAATTTTTTGATGAAACACGGAGACTTTGCGACCTGCGGCTCTTTCAGCCTTTTTTAAAAGTCATTGAACCAGTAGGCAACAGAGAAGAAAAGATTCTTAATCGGGAAATTGGTAAGATGTTCTGTGTTTTAAAGTTTCCTGATTTACCTAGTTAGTAAACTTAATCATCTTGTCCTCTTCAAAATACTAAAAGAGGTGTTAAAATGGGAATGTGATTCTTATCAATTGTAATTTGCTGCCACCTTGCAAAACTGCAGCAGTCTGGCAGAGTTTTAAGGGTGGTCTTATGAGCTATATAGTGTAGACCTTGTTCACAGTAAAACCAGCACTCTTTTATTGTGTTGTGCAAATAAAAAGTTGGGATTTTAACTGCTGCAATTCTAATTTTGGAGCGTGAGTAGGTTTTCACGAGCAGTGGAGGGGGAGAGTTTTTTTTTTTTTAAGCAAAATGTCAGTGGAAAGTGGTTGTTTTTTAAATATTTTGAAAGTGTTGGTGGGGTTTTTGGGGGTTTTGTTTTGTTTTGCCTTTATCCAGTCTCCCAGAAATGGTTGTGGAATATTATTTATTACTAATTTTAAAACAGTAGGAATTCTGTCCTCTTAAAATGCGTAAAATATTGTACAAATTGGTTCTAAATCCTGAAGTCATTCCTATTGTTGATTGTCTTGATTGTTTCAGGGAGTAGAATGTAGGGAGGTAGGGAGTTTTTGGTGTAGCCATGTCAAAATATAAAACTGATATTTCCTACTGTGGGGTAGAGAAGGGGCTTGAAAAATCCACTTAACTATGGTGAATGTGAAGTTGAGTCATCAACTTTTGCAGTCTCAAAACTTTTGTTTAAAAGGAAAAGTATGTAGTCATTTATGCTAGAAGATAAATTTCCAGCCATGAACAAAGTATAAGTCAGTATCTTTCTAAGTCTGTAAACAGATAGGCAAAAGGAAAGATATTGCATCTGGTTTATATGCAGTTTTTGTACTGGTATAACTATTTTTGTTAGGGATGTTTATTTTTTTAAAGTGAAATAGTTATATCAATATGATCCCTAGTATGGACACAATTATAAATGTACTTTGTACAAGTATGGTTTCTTCACCTTCCTGTATGGGTATAAGCCATACCAATGTAACTGTGACACACTTGTGGGATTGTACAGTTTTCTCTCTCTCAATATAGTGAAAGCTGTACAGCTTTTGTGTGTAGACACAGATTTAGTTGCTTTGGAAAATTCAACCCTGGTTCCTTTCAGTTGCTTTCCATGGTAATTTTGCCATATAGTCCCAAGCGTGAGGAATGACATCCTTGTGCTGAATGCCAAGGAAGAGCATACTGTAACTGGATACGCCTTGTGTTTAATTTATTACCTTACAGCCAGAAACAATTTGAGATCTTCAATGAAACAGTAATGATTGAAGAGCTAATGGATGTTAGGGATTGTACCTTGTATTTTGGAATAGGTAAAACGGTACAGCTTTTGTGTGTAAACAAGCCTGCAGGCTACTTAAAGCCTTCCCAATCTGCAGCAGAGTAATAGGGAATCCTGTAAGCAACAGTGAAGTTGACCAAGAATCTGGTCAATTTCACTTTGTTGCTTATGACCTTTTCTAGGTGGCAGCACAGAGCTAGGCACTGGAGGTATACACTAGGGAGGAGGACCCCAAATGGAGGCTGGGAAAGGGTTGATCAGTGCAGACAACTGCTATTATTACAGCAGTTAGGAGAATCAGGGTGCAGTGCAAAGAGAGAGTGCCTCCATCCAGTGTGTTTGGGGAATACACGTTTTAGGCGGTTGATAGCTGATGGTTACAAAAGATGGAGGCCCTGGGTGTAGAGTCTGTGGACAGCACCCTGTTAGGAATCCAGAACCTTCCTCTTCATCCTAAAACGAGTCTGGAGGGGAAAATAAATGGTAATTTTCCCAGGCTCTGCCCACATGTGATAGAAGTATAAAATTAAACTCATTGTAACTACTTTTGAATTCTTAAAGATTAGAGACTGATTAGAGATTTAAAAAATCTTAAATTCTGGAGCACTTAAATTCTGATGCAGCCACTGGGGAAAAATACTAATGTGCAAGTAGTTGTGATCCGGTCCGAGTTTACTCCACTCTTTCCTAGCAAATTGTTCAAAGGGGGTGGAAGGGCCTTCGGTTCTTAACAAAGCATTGTCTCTGTGGCTCCATATCTTTGGTGCTGTTTGTTTACTTTGCTGGCTGTTAGGGCTTGAAAAGTGTATGAAGGGGTGGGTATAAGTAGGTAGGGTGAGTTTGTGGGTGTGAATGAGAGAGTGGAAGGAAAGGAAAGTGGAGGAAACAAGACAGAGTGGATAAAAAAATGATTTTAAAATATCAAGTAATATTTATAATTCAAATCAGATTTTTTTTATTTATATGTTGCTAATTCTTTCTCGCCCTATTTTATATTCTTCAATGGCTAAAGTGGCTATTTTCTACTTGTTTGTTTAATTAGTTTCCTGCTCGTTAGTAGAATTTCAGATTATTAGAGGTTTTATTCTGCTAAGAAGTTTCACACTTAAAATGAAAAAGACAAGTCCAGGATTTCATTAACATCCATACTGTGTGGCTTGGGAGCCTAACTTTTCGGTTCCTGCTTCTGAAAACTTTGGTTTGAGTGATTTTTTGTGTTTTTGTTTTTTAAATAAAGTTTGCAATAACTTTGTTTAATGTATTGAAATAATTTTCTTTAACACTGAAGCAGTTTTGTTTTGAAATGACAAAGAATTTGTGCTACTGAGAGAAGTTTTTAATAAAATACAATTTTAGCCCCCACTGCTGCAAACACTTAGCTTGTAGCAAATGAGTAATCCCATTGAAGTTAGTGGCAGTATTCCTGTGAGCAGAGTTATGTACCTGCTTACGTGTTTACAAGATCAGAGCCTTCATTTTTGATATTTTTTTTCTTTTGCCCATATATAGCTGTTTTGGAAAATTCAAATAGGCTAGTTCATTATAAGTTTTAATGTAATGTGTTAACACAGAGTGCTAATTGGTTTTACAAAGCCTCAATCTGATTTGAATGAATAGTTAAAAAAAAATTAAATAATTTTAAATACTCTTGATTTTTTTTTAAATGCATGCTTAGAAAAGAAGACTTCACAGAGAGAATGAGATGGGGGAGGAGCAGGGGGAAGAAGTGGGAAAGGTAGAATGAACATCAAAAACAATCCCTAATAAAGGAAAGAGAGAGATCAATGGTAGCTGAAGGAAAGAGAGAAAAGGAAAAACAGAGTGCAAATACCACAGAAAATGATTAATTATTAAAAAGGACAGAGAGAGAAGAGGAAAAGTAAAGAGAAGCCAGTGGGTGTAAGAAGTTAATAACACACTTTTTACAAATGTGTTAAATAACAAGTAGACAATATGTTGCAGTTAATGTTCTCGATAAACAACACATAATCTTTACACTGCAGGAGCTGCTGCTTTAGGAGGCTTGTATCACAAGTCGCTTTCCCCTCCTCCCGTCCACTTGGCATTTAGATGTCTGGTAGACTTTTTCAAACCAGGGTGGGAATGTTTGGTTTAATAATGCAAATTATGGTAGTATGCTTTTGTATTTATCTATCCTGCATTGATCACCAATGTGTTTTACAATTATAACCACATCACAGTACAAAACCAGTTGGCTAACCCTTCTTTTCTTTTATAATGTTGAGTGAGTTTTCTCACTACTTGGTGTATTTGATTGACTAAGAACTGTTTGGAATAATCACTAGAGCAAACCAGTTTTATATAAATGCTTTCTTCTTATCCTGTTCCAGTCTGTCAGTCTGAAAAATCAGATAACTATATTTTGTAAAATAAAATCTTGTAGATAAAACATGGTGATAAAAATCTTCACTTTTTTCATTGAGTTTTGCAACATTACTGCTCACTTGAATGTGGTACTACAGTAAATATTCATGCTAAAAATAAGTTGTATGAGCCAATCTTAAAGTCTCTAACAGATGCATATTAAATTTGTTGTTGTAGGGACATCTCAAGTGAGAGAACTTATTTTTTCCCCCAGAATGCCCCAAAATGTTTCTTAGGATAAACCAGGTGGTTAGTATAGACCAGTGGTTCTCAAACTTTTGTATTGGTGATCCCTTTCACACAGCAAGCTTCTGAGTGCAAACCCCCTTATAAATTAAAAACAAAATTTTAAAAATATTTAACGCAGTTATAAAAGTGGGGTTTGGGGGTAGAAACTGACAGCTTACGACCCCCACATCATAACCCTGTGACCCTCTAAGGTTTCATAACCCCCAGTTTGAAAACCCCTGGTATAGATTCTTTTCCAAGTTCAGGAAAGTTTAAAAATACAATAGTGGTCCTGAATAGGTTCTCTTAATCACTTATCAGTACAATCTGAGCAGAGGCGTCATTTGCTATGTGATGGGGGGCAGTTGGTTTGGCCCTCTGCCCAGACTTGCCATAGCTCCTCACCAACTAGCACTATGGTGTCTCCCCTGGACCTGCGGGGGCATTGGGTCAGGCTCGGGCTTCTACTGACTGCATTGTCAGCACTGCTTCTCAGGTGGCAACCTGTGCCAAAGCTGAGTCTGGAGCAAATCCGGCTCAATACCTGCCCTCAGCCAGCTGTCAGTGAGGACACCCTCCCCATCTCCTCCCCCGCCCCTTGGATGGGACTGGCCGAATAACCCCTCACAAGCAACTGTGGCCTCAGCAGGAAGTGGAAATGGGGATGCTGATACAACTTTGCATGCCGCCTCAATCCCCACAGAATTTTTCTGAACTGTTGCCCAGAATCTGAGGGTTTCAGCCTGTAAACATTTACTTCTGTGGGTAGTCCAGCTGAGGTAAATGGGACTACATGCTTGAGTAAAAAATTTGCAGGATTGGTCCCTTGCTGAATCTTCAAGAGCTAAGTTAAGTGCCTAATGTGACAGTCAAAGCTTAAATCTTGTAGCTATTCTAGAATATTGAAAAGTTGGCGTGCAGTAAAGTAGATCTGGAAGTTATAGAGGAAAGCTGATGAGGGCTCTGAGCACTCTGTGTGAAACCCAGTCAAGGTCTGGGGAGAGTCATGTAACAGCAACTGACTTCAGAGGAAGTCTCATTAGTCCTATTCCTGTTGGAGGATGTTGGCTGTGATGAGGGCAGGGGGAGGCATCCAATAGTGACCCAGAAGCTCCCCAGGTTACTTCAGTGAGTGTATCCCTTTCTAACCTTTTCATGTGCTCCTGGGTTTACTACTGCCAGATTTACCAGGTACACGGTTACATTATAAGGTTGATTTCATTATTCAGCATAACTGCAGGAGTGGAGGACTAGTAGCTAATATAAAGTGTGAACAAGTATTTTGAATTGCTTTTATAAGCTGCTTAAATACAAGATGTTTGTTCTGTCAGCAGTAGAAAAATAGTATTTCTATGAAAAATATACTGCGATATATTTATTAGTCACTGAAAATTAAGTATTTTTTCAATATCTTAGGTTTTGCTATTGGCATGCCTGTCTGTGAATTTGATATGGTTAAGGATCCAGAAGTACAGGACTTCAGAAGAAATATTCTTAATGTTTGTAAAGAAGCAGTGGATCTTCGAGATGTGAATGCACCCCATAGTAGAGCATTATATGTCTGTCCACCAAATGTTGAATCTTCACCTGAACTGCCCAAGCACATATACAGTAAACTAGATAAAGGTATAACAAATGTTTGCTCTAACAACTTAATGGTACTTATTTCTATTAACAAAAATTTCAGTTAGTACAATTCATGATGGCAGACAAGTGAATCATTATTTATGTAGTATATTTAATACACTGCGGCAACATCTTACAGTTTGGTTACACGCTTTGTCTTCAGTCAGGATAACCTGCGTAGTAGGAGTTGAACTCAAAAAAAAAAAAAAAAAAAAAGTGTCACATAGTTCAATTTTCTATATTCTAGGAAAACTCTTTTACAGCTTGAGTTATCCAGTTATTGCACTGATTGATGCAACTGTTTCAGTGATTATGTGACAGCGTGGACTGATTTGCCAGCTGCTGTTAGCATTTTTGTCTGAGTTCAGAAGTGTCTCTAATAATATTTAGAACATGTAGAATTAAATGATTTTGGAAACATAAAACTATCTTTTAGTCCTTAGTTACAGAATAGTCATATTGTTGGTGGAAAAAGATTGGCTGAATAAGTACTAGTTGTTTAGAAATAGTTTTGTGATTAAATGACAGTTTGAATGTACATGGACAGTAAGACCAGAATGGCTTTTTCGGAAGTCAATGTAAGTAGAGTCCACTGAGCACCTTTTGTAGAAGGTTCTCTGCACTTTGGGCTATGAACTGCGCCTGCATGTTCTTTCAGTAGGGATTATGACAAGCAATTCCAAGTCTGACCAGTTTCTTTAGAAGACTGTGTATGGACAATAATAGAATCTGATGTTGTTTCACATTATTCCAGGGCAAATAATAGTGGTGATATGGGTAATAGTGTCCCCGAACAATGACAAGCAGAAATATACCTTAAAAATCAACCATGACTGTGTTCCTGAGCAAGTTATTGCTGAAGCAATCAGGAAAAAAACACGAAGTATGTTGCTGTCATCTGAACAACTAAAACTCTGCGTTTTAGAGTACCAGGGCAAGTATATTTTAAAAGTGTGCGGCTGTGATGAATACTTGCTCGAAAAATATCCTCTGAGCCAGTATAAGGTGAGTTACTTGTTGTAAATTAATGGATTTATTTAAAAATACACTAGAAGAATTGAAATTGGGAGTGCAGTAAGAGAATGATGTATTAAGATTCTGTGACGGACTCTTGTTTCGTTTCTTAAACTAATTCAGAAGGCAGAAAATGAAAATTCATAAGATTAGCCAACTAGCTTAAATTTTTGTGCAGTTGAGTTTACTGTGTACAGATAATTGCAGTATAAATAAAAATGCAACAGAAGTGCTCAGCTTTGGCCTACCCAGGCTCCCATTGAAGTCAGTGGGAATTTATTCTAATCAAGTAAAGGTCAGCGCTGACCACTTTTGGAAATACCACCCTAAATTTCTGAGAGAAAGTGCTAAATTACAAAATAGACATTACTACTTTAAATGACATTTTTATTTAGAAATAGATATTTGAACTCCTGTTTGCTTTGTGGTAATTGAAATAGCAATAAGGAGTATCGCTCCACTGCAGAAATTATAGCTAAGTCGTTTTTAATTTTTCTTTGTCCCTGAGTTTTTTGTTTGTTTTTTTTTCCCCTCCCAGCCTTGTGGTTTTTTGTCTTAAGTAATATCCATCACTTTGACAGGGAACTACTGGATGGAAGAGTGGGTGAACAGCTCCGTCTGGAGCAACATCAGTGTTACTCAATAGACCTGGTGACAGAGACTGAGTTGTGTTGCTTTCTCTTTAGAGACTGTACCACTATTGTATCAAGACACCTCCAGCCCTTTAACGCTAGCTGGAAACATGGAATTCAGATAGAATGTGCTACTGCTGCAAACAATGATTATTTTTGTCTTAAAATTTGTATATCCTGCTGCCTGTTTGGTCATGTGCAACAAGCTAGTTAAAAACATTGGTGTTGTAACTGAAAACAATGTAAAGGGATGCTATAAAGATAAATGCTACAAGAGCTCATTAAATGTAATTTTCTTAGCCTTTTGGATTTTATGTATGCTTTCCTTTAATATTTTTAAGCATTAATTACAAAGAAAATACAGCAAAACAATCTTTTTTTTTTTCCTTCTTCTTCTTCCAACTATTGCAGTACATAAGAAGTTGTATAATGCTTGGCCGAATGCCCAACCTGATGCTGATGGCTAAGGAAAGCCTTTATACCCAGCTGCCACTGGATACCTTTACAATGCCATCTTATTCCAGACGGATCTCTACAGCTACACCATACATGAATGGCGAAGCTTCAGCCAAATCTCTCTGGGCCATAAACAGTGCTCTCAGGATAAGAATTCTTTGTGCCACCTATGTAAATGTAAACATTCGAGACATTGACAAGGTGAGTGAAATTCTGAATACATGGATGTTAAAATATTGCCTAGAATCAGAATGAAAACACTGAGCCACACTCACTGCAATAAGCCTCTCTAACAAAATTAGGGAATCAGCTGGTCAACAGTATATGTTGATACCAGCTACTAGTGTTAATTAGGGGCCTAATTCACACTTAAGTCAATGGAAGCACTCCCACTGACCAGTGAGTGTTGGACAGGGCCTTGGAGCATACGGAGCACACACAAAACTAGCAAAGTTTATATTTTCAAAGCAAATTTTCTAACTAAAATTACATGATAGACTAGGGGTGAGCAAACTACGGCCCACGGGCCGGTTCTGGCCCACCAGCTGTTTTAAGCCAGCCCTCGAGCTCCCGCTGGAGAGCGGGGCCTGGAGCTTGCCCTGCTCCAGCACTCCATCTGGGGCACAGGGTTGGGGGCTGCTCCACGCGGCTTCCAGAAGCAGCGGCGTGGCCCCTCTCCGGTGCTCCAGCTGGGGAGCAGGGTCAGGGGCCACTCCACGCAGCTCCCAGAAGCAGAGGCATGCCCCCCACACACGCTGCAATGGCCCCTCCAGCGCTCCAGTGGGAGCTGCAGGGGCAGTGCCTGTGCACAGAGCAGCATGCAGAGCCGTCTGGCTACGCCTCAGCATAGGAGCTGGAGGAGGGACATGCCACTGCTTCCGGGTGCCGCTTGAGGTAACTCCCGCCTGGAGTCTGCACCCCTGAACCTCTCTCCATGCCCCAACCCCCTACCTCAGCCCTGATCCCCCTCCCAACCTCCAAACCCCTCATTCCCAGCCCAGAGCACCCTCCTGAACCCCAAACTCCTCATCCCCAGTTCCACTCCAAAGCCCTCACCCCCAGCCGGAGCTCTCATCCCCCCTGCACCCCTCAGTCCCAGCGCAGAGCACCCTCCTACACCCCAAACTCCACACCCCCAGCCGAAGCCCTAACACCCTTACGCTACTCACCCCATGCCCCAGTCCGGAGCCACCTCCCACACCCTGCACTCCTCATTTCTGGTCCCACCCCGGAGCCCTCACCCCCAACAGAGCCCTCACCCCAACCCCAATTTTGTGAGCATTCGTGGCCCGCCATACAATTTCTATTCACAGATGTGGTCCTCGGGCCAAAAAGTTTGCCCACCCCTGTGATAGGCCATCATAATTTTTTCCTTGTTTGGTTAAGCTGCAGTGTATTTGAAAAGGCCATATAAACTCTTCTTTAAAAAACAAAACAAAATTGAAGGTATCTTCCAGAAGTTGAAAATGGTGTGCACACACACGGCTCCCAATGCCATCTTTTTTTCTTTTGACGAACATAGAAGTCAGTATATAAATTCAGGCCCATGCTTTCAAACTTGGCTGCCTAAAATACCTAAATCTTTCTTTGTGTATCCAAATACGTTACCTGATTTTTTCAGAGTTATTTAGCACCTTCAGCTGACATTGATTTCAGTGGGTACTAGGGATTACATGACATAGTAGAAAATTAGGCCAATTGTTTTAGACACCCAAATCTGAGAATTTTGGTCTTATTCATTTAATAAGAAGCATGATAAAACTTCTGAATTTTTCCCTTTTACATATTACTGTAACTTACAATCTGTGAAACCCAAAGCACTGAGGTTCTGAGTTGAATGCTGAGCAATTTGTAGTATCAGGTCTTAATTTGGTGATTCATCTAAAATAAACTGGGGGAGAAGCAGGAAAAATGTAAGTAAGGATTTTTCTTGTGTATCTTAAAATAACAAATACTATGCTTAAAGAGCCATTACTGTAAGAACTGGGACAAGTTTTTGTTTGAACAGTGCTGTGGACAAGTTTGCTACCCTTACTTGAAAGAAAGAGAGAAAAAACAAGGGGGATAATTGCATTCAGCATAAACTGTTACCATCCTAGTTCTTTTCTGTGCTTGGAAGTTGCCCAGTTTATCCTTCCATCTCCATGGCTTGCCCTGGTAATCAAGGATAAATTCCAGTTGTGTTGTTACTTAAAGTCATTATTTGAAATGCAGTCATAATTAACTTTGAAATGGTGATGCAGAGGTAGTGAACTAAAATTTTGTACTAGAAGCACAGTAAGAATACTTTATGCCATATAGCTTTTTCTCAAATTGATAGAAATTAGTGTGTGACATATGGTTCTAATCAGCATCTAATAGCAATGGTGTTTACAGTAATACTTTTGTTCAGACCTGGGTCTAGTATTCAAATGGACTATAACAGGTGCTAATGCTTAAACATGTTATTTTCAGATCTATGTCCGAACTGGTATCTACCATGGAGGAGAACCATTATGTGACAATGTGAATACTCAAAGGGTACCTTGTTCCAATCCCAGGTAAATAATGCTACTGTAACAATTTGGGGAAATCTGATTTCCAGAGCTTTGTAAAGCAGAATTAGATTCTGTCCGTACCAATTTTTACCATCAAGCAGTTTCCCTAGCTGGGAAGCAGATAAGATAGTAGGCACCACTGAGAGAAAAAAGCAGCCTTATTTTCTAAAAGGATGTACTGAAAATAATTTATCCTAAACAAAAAACATTCTTATTTAACATGTATGTAGCTGTCTAAGAATTATAAATAATCACTGGAGTTTTCCTTTTAAATTGATCACTCCTTTCCATTTACAGATTTGTTTAATTGGATTAATTTAGGATTTGCAGATCTTCATTTTGGCTTGTAAAATGTTATGTAAAAGCAGCAACCTTTTACTCAACAGGTCTGTTCTCTATGTGTATTAAGAGTTTTGTCTGTGACTCAAAAATTTGCTACATTTCCCCTTTTTGTTTTACAATACAGAACCAGCGTAGCTACTAGAAATTGAACTAGATTCCGTTCTGGCTTGTGACTTGTTAGCAAAGCTCCAACTGCAAGTTCAAATTCTGCTTGTAACATGCAACAGTTCTGTTCAGCAGGGTTGCACAAGTATTTGCCCTGCAGAATCTATCACAATGACAAAAAGACAAACATAGCTTGACTTTCAGATCCTAAGATGTGTTTGCAGAGCTGGCTGCTTCACATATTGTCTTCTACCACTTGTTCTGTTGATCTCTCAGTAGAATCTGGGTACATGACTGAGGTTCCTAGGCAATATCACAACACAAACAATCTGGGAAATTTTTTTTTAGTGAGTGAGGCATGATAAATAGGGAACCTCAGAATGCAGTTTTATAGAATCACTTTTCAAAATAAAACCACACTTTAAGTGGCCACCTTTTTCACTATCATCATGTTGGATTGTGATTAATCGGATTTGTTAATATCATCAACGTCCACCAACCCAACACAAGCCACTAGGGAGGGGAAAATGCTGTTAGGGCTTCAGGGCAACTGGAAGTCTGGAATTAGGATGCTCCTGAAATACGGCAGGACAGGGAATAGAAAGAGCTTTAAAAAAATCTAGGAATAGATACTGTTAGAGAAAAGAGTTTTGTAAGCAAGAAGAGAAGTGCATAAATAAAAATACATAGGAAAAGGTGGAATTGACATACAGTGTGGCCCATGTAAAGAAGAGCTACTTGGCAAAGAGAAGATCGGAGAGCAGTTTGCTAGAATGGAAGTTTATTAATTTGACAACCTAAATAGATTGGATCTACCTTGATTTGTGTCTAAAAATGAAACGTGGAAATTCAAATGATGGTGATGTAAATACAAAATGTGTGTGGTACAAATGTATGCCAGTGAATTTAAAACAAAGGTCTTAATCTCCAAAAAGTGCTCTGCAGTTTCTCCTATGCTCGCTCTCTGGCTCTAATGATAGTTGTGGGGCCTCAGTATCTGCCTGGATCAGACCCAGAGTGTATTCAAAAATAATTCCAAATTCACATTTTCTGTCTGATTGACCTTGCATGTCTTTAGAAAAGTTTTAGTTGGGACTTAAATTTTGCTTGCAAACACTACTGCTCTCCAAGGGAATGAATAGATATTATATAATTAACAAGTCTAACAGAATATATGGTTATTGAAAAATAATTTCTCTCTTCCAGTAGCTGTGGTTCAGTTTATCTGCAGTGTTAATATAGTGTAGGGATGTTTGGGGAGGAAGTCTCTTTAGGGAAAGAATGATGAAAGGTGTTAGTCCAGAACATTATCATATTCATTAAAGTTTCTCCGTTCTTTGACTTCGGCCACTGACTCTTCTCCAAAGCTCTTGAGGCTGCAAGATAGCCATTTCCACCCTGTATTGTAACTTCAGGGGAAGGAACTTTCAGGAAAAGTTGCCCCTCCATATCCGTAGTCTTCTGGTAGCAGGTACTAGTAGCCAACAACAGGGATTGCGGCTGTATCAGGGTTATGAGTTCTGTAGTGACTGCAGCATGAATTCACTTAAAAGGAATCTTTTCAATCATGCTGTACTTTAGCTCCCTACTATGTAAGAGGCTGTGTGCACTTTTGTTTTTCTATCCCTGAGAAGATCATGTGGATGGAAATGAAGGTGGCGCATACTGGCATCCACCGCCTCTGAAGTTTATGCTTACCATAAGCTTCACGACAGGCCACCCTTTTCTCTTGGTGGAGGGTTATATTACTTGATATAGCTCATTTGCATTCCAGAATCTGCATCCATATCCCTTTTGCATTAGTCTCTTGCAGGGGAGCTTCATCCACCCAAGACAAGAAACCAAACATAGTAGCAAACTGGTTCAGGAGAACCAGACAGTGAATTGACTATAAACAGACTGGCCTAGTTTCACTATCCATACTGAATAAACAATACAAATGGTAAAAAATAATCTGTGTCCTACATATTGTTAATAGGAAAATGAATTATCTTGTTAGCCTTGGTTCAACTCTCCCATTCACCAAAAGAGCTGTTGATGTGGAAATTCACCAAGCACTGTTCTCTCTGATCTCTCTGTTGCTGAGTTCCCCCTCTCAGATCATCACTTGGTCTTTTTCAGTAGTGCTTATTGGCACACTCCCCCTCGTACATGTGTGCCTGTCACTTGACCTTTCCATATTTTGAATGGAAAGATTCTATTAGAATTCTTTTGAGGGGGTCAACAAGCATGTGGGCAAGCGTGATCCAGTGCATATAGTGTACTTGGACTTTCAGAAAGCCTTTGACAAGGTCCCTCACCAAAGGCTCTTAAGCAAAGTAAACAGTCATGGGATAAGAGGGAAGGTTCTCTCATGGATCAGTAACTGGTAAAAAGATAGGAAACAAAGGGTCAGTTTTCACAATGCAGAGAGGTAAATGGTGGTGTCCCTCAAGAGTTTATCCGGGGGCCAGTGCTGTTCAACATATTCATCAATGATCTGGAAAAAAGGGTAAACAGTGAAGTAGAAAACTTTGCAGACGATACAAAATTACTCAAGATAGTTATGTCCAAAGCAGGCGTTGAAGAATTACAAAAGGATTTCACAAAACTGGGTAACTGGGCAGCAAAATGGCAGATGATATTCAGTGTTGATAGATGCAAAGTAATACATGCTGGAAAACATAATCCCAACTCTACATACAAACTGATGGGGTCTAAATTAGCTGTTATCACTCAAGAAAGAGATCTTGGAGTCGTGGATAGTTCTCTGCAAACATCTGCTTAATGTGCAGCTGCAGTCAAAAAAGCTAACAATGTTAGGAACAATTAGGAAAGGGTTAGATAATAAGACAGAAAATATCATAATGCCACTATATAAAGTCATGGTACGCCCACACTTTAAATACTGCATGCAGTTTTGGTTGCCCCATCTCAAAAAAAGATATATTAGAAATGGAGAATGTACAGAGAAGGGCAACAAAAATGATTAGGGGTATGTGAAAGCTTCCATATGAGGAGAGAAAAAGACTGGGACTGTTCAGCTTGGAAAAAGAGACGACCGAGTGGGGATAGGCGAGACGTCTATAAAATCATGAATGGTGTGGAGGACATGAATAAGGGGGTGTTATTTGTCCCGTTAAGTAACACAAGAACCAGGGGTTGCGCAATGAAATTAAAAGGTAGCAAGTTTAAAACAAAGAAAAGGAAGCACTTCTTCACACAGTGCACTTTGGAACTTGTTGCCAGAAGATGTTATGAAGGCCAAACTAGGTTCAAAAAGGAATAGATAAGTTCATGGAGGATAGGTCTATCAATGGCTATTAACCAAAATGATCAGGGATGCAATCCCATGCTCTTAGTGTCCCTAAGCCTCCGGCTTCCAGGAGCTGGGACTGGATGACAGGGGATGGATCACTCAATAATTGACCTGTTCTGTTCACGCCTGCTGAAGCATCTGGCACCAGCTTCTGTCAGAAGACAGAATACTGGCCTAGATGGACCCTTGGTATGCCCCAGTATGGCCATTCTGGCATTCTTATTTTCAATCCAATGCTAACAACTTGTGTGCTTTCAGCCCTCTCTTCTGCTGTTATGGTGGTTGATTCTCTGTTTCTCACTCTCCTCTGCCCTTACTCTTTTGCTCCACCCTACCACCCTCCTCAGTCCTGGCTCACTCTCAATAGCTGCTTCCTCTGTTCCTGCTCTCATGCCATGGAGCATCTCTGGCAGAAATTCTGTGACCAGGCTGACCTTCCTCCACTACAGATTTGTTCTTTCCTTTCTGAGTTCTGCCATCTTCCTAGCTAAATAACTCTACTTCTCCAACTTATTTGCATCTCAGCTACTGCCTTATCTCCCTTTTCCCTTTTATTTCTAAGGTTATTGAACACATTGTTTACAATTGCTGTCTGGAGTTCCTCTCTTCTAGTTCCATCTTAGACCCTCTCCAGTCCAGCTTCTGCTTCTTGCTCTCAATTGAAACTGCTCTTGCCAATGGCCTCTTCTGAGCCATATCTCAGAATTAGTACTCCCTCCTCCTCGGCCTGATAGTTGACCATTCTCTTTTTCTTGAAATCTTATCCTCCCTTAGCATCCATAACTGTTCTCTCCCTCTCCTAGTTCTCCTCCTAACTCTCTCATTGTTCCTTCAGCATGTCCTTTGGAGGATCTTCATCATGCCATCTCCTAATTTTTGGAGGGATTCTGCAGGGCTCTGTCCCTGGTCCCCTCTCATCTCCCTCTGCACCTCTTTCTCTGGGTAGTCTCCACAAACACAAATTCTACTCTATGGGGTCAACTCACAGATCTACCTCTCTACTCCAGTCTCCTTCTGTCCAAACTAATATCTTAGCATATCTCTCTGAAATCTCATTGTGGCTGTCTTGCTTCAGCTCAGGTGCAACATGGCTAGAAGAGAGCTTTTTATCTTTCCCTTGAAGGCCTCCTAGCTGCCTCCTTTCTCTTTCCCGTGGACAACCCCACTTGCTTGCCTGTTGCTCATGCTCATAATCTGGTGTTATCTTTGACTTGGACCTCTCTCTAGATCCTCACATCCAACCTACATCAAAGTCTTGTTGATTCTTTCTGCATGACCATTCCAAGATATGACTTTTCTCATCCATTCACACAACTAAAACTCTTGTCCAGCCTTTCATCAACACATGTCTCAAATACTGCAATATCCTTTTCTTTGGCCTTAGTTAATTCAGTCTTCCCGTTCAGAATGCTGCTGCAAAAATCATTTTCGTAGCCTGTCGCTTTGACCATGTCACCCCTTTCTTTATGGCCCTCCACTGACTTCCTCCTTCTCTCTTGTATCAAACCTGTTACTTGTCTTCACTTTCAGGGCCCCTTGCAGCCTGCGCTACTATCATCTCTCATTCACTACCAAGATGTCAACTCTTGCCTCTGATTGATCAATGATGACAGCATCCATCCTCTACTTGTTTTCAAACACCTTTGTGCTTTCTCCAATGCTGCCCCTCACACATTAGAGGAGTTCCCAGTAAATAGTTGCAAAGCTACATCAATATCCTCCTTCAAACTCTCTCCTTCTCTGTGATGGCGCCAAAAAAACTGGACAAAAACTAGGCCACTGGTGCACAGAGGCCACAGCCTGGCATTCTGACCACTGTTGTCTCATTCTGTCCTTATATTCCCCCATCTATCTGTAGCCATCTGTTTTGTCTTGTTTTAAACAAGCTGTTTGTGGAAGGAACTGTCCTTTTGTTCTGTTTGTACAGCACTTGGCACAGTGGGTTCTTGACCCAGGACTAAGGCTCCTAGGCGCTATGATAATACAGGTAACACAAGAATGGGGAGCCACCAAATGAAATTAATAGGCAGCAGATTTAAAACAAAAGGAAGTATTTTTTCACACAACGCGCAGTCAAGCTGCGGAACTCCTTGCCAGAGGATGTTTTGAAGGCAAAGACTATAACAGGGTTCAGAAAAGAACTAGATAAATTTATGGAGGTTAGGTCTGTCAATGGCTATTAGCCAGGATGGGCAAGGATGATGTCCCTAGCCTCTGTTTCCCAGTAGCTGGGTATGGGTGACGGGATGGATCACTTGATGATTACCTGTTCTTTTCATTCCCTTGGGGCACCTGGCATTGGCCACTGTCAGAAGACAGGATACTGGACTAAATGGACCTTTGGTCTGACCCAGTTCGACCATTCTTATGTTCTTAAATAATCAATATCGGTCTCCCTTTAAGCAGAATCCAAAGAGTAAGGTCTATGTAGGGCTAAGGAAGCACTATTGATACATTTGCAATTTTTAAGCCCTTAATGTTTGCTTTTAAAATGCTGCTTTTTAGCATTTTGTGTTAGCTTTTCAGTTCTTCCATGAGCATAGTCCATTTTTAAAGGCTGGTGCCCTCTTCCAACAGAGGAAATCTAACTAGGCAACCCAACAAAGAAAATATAATTATGCATCTTTGCTTTTGTAGGGTAATAGCCAGACATATCAGTTGATATATTCAACATGTTTTAAGAAGTCTATAACAATAATAATGACAGTACTTGGTAGTCCTGTAGAGCCAAATTTTGCTCTTTGGCACCCAAGTGTAAATTTGAAGCAACTCCATTAACTTCAGTGGAGTAACCCCAGAATTAGCAGAGAGCAGAGTTTTTAGCAGAAAGCAGATTATGTGCCCATTTATTATTATATGGAGGTTAAAAGGTGATGGAACTCCAGAAATTGCCTTCATGTGCAGTGTGTGTAATGCTGGGGAGCTATTGAGATGAAAACCCCGACGGTCACTTACGGAAGACTGTGTAAAATTTCAATTCCACTGCTCTGTAAAATGGAGTATTTGAAGAAAACTTTTCTCTTTCGTAAACTATCTTTATCTTTACAGCCTTATTTTATTAGTTACAATGCAGTAATTGAAACAGGTTGCACTCACTGTGCTTCAGGCTTCTCTATGACTTTCATTACCTAACACATATCCTGTACTAAATTCAAGTATTCTTCTCCAGTGTTAATTGTTTCCTGTGAGGTTTACTAGTGTACAATTCAACAGAACCATAATTAATACAGCTATGTAAATATTTGGAAAGTATCCATTAGCTAGCTAAGAAATTATTCTTTCTTAGTACACTGTTGTACAGGAAGTATTGCTCTAGATCAGTGATTTTCAACCTTTTTTCATTTGCGGACCCTTAAAAAATTTCAAATGGAGAGGCATAGTCTTAGACATAGTCTGCAGCCTCCCAAGGATCCACAGACCACAGGTTGAAAACCACTGCTGTAGATTGTTGGCATTTAGTAAATACAAATACCAAATTTGTTGCAAAACTTATCTTTAAGAAAAAAACACAGTATTTTATCATACCTGGGGAAAAGGAAGTGTACATCAGGGAGAAGAGAGATGAGACACTGGTTTTTACTAAATGTAAAACTGACCAGTGGTGTGTGACAGTTTTTCATTCAATTACTTCCTCTCAGGATTTATATCCTCAGAATTTAATTTTCTTTTCTTCCACTTGTCTGTGGCGGTACTTCCTCTACACCTTTCAGGGGGTTTTCTTCAGAGAGCGTCTGTTTACATATTAGTAAGGCTACATTTTAGTCATGGGTATTTTCAGTAAAAGTCACAGACAGGTCACAGGCAGTAAACGAAAATTCACGGCCTGTGACTTGTCCATGACTTTTACTAAAATACCAGTGAATAAAACTTGCGGGGGGTTGCTGCCTGGGGGCCCTGCAGGTGCTGGGGGAGGGCAGCCTGGCTGCTTGGGGGTGGTCCGAGACCCCCCCCTGGTGTTGGGTGGGCGTAGGTGGCGGTGTACAGCTCGGGACCCCCGCTATTGTTGGGGGCGGGGGGAGGTTGGCAGGGCCGCAGGCTCCCTACCTAGCTGCATGCCTTTCCCCCCACTCCCCAGCAGCAGCAGTAGTAGCAGAAGAGTTTGGGCGTGGGAGGGGACAGGGGGTTGAGGCACGAGACGGGATGAGGTGGGCTCTGGGTGGCGTTTACCTGGGGGGCTCCCTGGAAGTGGGCAACGTCCCCCTTGCTCAGCTGCTAGGCGGAGGCGTGGCCAGGCAGGTCTGCAGGCATGGCTCCCGCAGCTCCCATTGGCCGCAGTTCCTGGCCAACGGGAGCTGCGAAGCTAGTGCTCTGGATGGAGGCAGCATGCAGAGCTGCCAAGCCAGGCCTCTGCCTAGCAGCTGAGCAAGGGGGATGATGTCACCGCTTCCGAGGGGCCCCCCACGTAAGCACCCCTGCCCGCTCCCAGACCCAAACTCTGCTGCTGGCAGGGGCCCGAGACTGTCTCAGCAGTGGCCAGTGCATCTGGCGCAAAAGCTGCTTGAGCTGTCCCTGAGCCAGGCACACCGGCCGCTGCAGAAGTCACGGAGGTCATAGAAAGTCACGGAATCCGTGACCTCCATGACAAACCCGCAGCCTTAAATATTAGTTACATCATGTTCTGACGTGCTTAAATTTTTTTGCTCGACTTAAGCCTACTAAAGTGCTTAAAAGTGCGTGGCTCTATATTGTAATGTAACTATAAATATGGTATTGTTTGTCTCCCAATGATCCCAATACTGAGTTTACAAGTAGAAACATGCATTTTCTACTAACTAGCTCTTGCAACTCAAACTGCGCTCTGAGAGTCAAGCCAACTTCTTTACTTTGTACGCATCTTCATGAATAGTTAAAGATTTGCAGGCCAGATTAAACCCTCAATAACAGCCATGCAAACCCATGTTGTCAGACTAGGCCTACATTGACAATTACAGTCAGGGAGTCTGCGCAAATGTTGATTGAATGTGGTAAACAATTCTGTTGATGGTGCCCAGAAAGGAATAAAAATCCATCTCACTTTCTCTGAATGACATTGGTTCTGCAGGGCTAACCAGAGTAAAAAGCAGTAAGGACTTCGGTGACTAAAAGCAGTAGATGTGGATGAATACATGCAGGTAGCTGATCTGCTCAGTCAGAAAGTGCTATTTTGATGATGTTGCTTTTCTAGAGTAGAAATATGTATTTAATATCCTTGGAAGAGGAACACTCTGATTTTTCCATATCATTTTGTGTCTATTTACTAACTAAAGTGTACTGAGTTTTATTTGCTTTAATGTGGTTTTTATTTTACTTTTAAAATCCCACAGATGGAATGAATGGCTGTCGTATGACATGTACATTCCTGATCTCCCACGTGCTGCTCGGCTTTGCCTTTCCATCTGCTCTGTTAAGGGTAGAAAGGGTGCTAAGGAGGTAAAATATTTAATAATTTTAATAGTTCTAACGTGTTATAAGAGAAAACTCCAGGCAGCCAAGTTTGGGAAGAACAGTTGGCCAAAACTTGAATAGAAGTTGGTCTTACCAAAATCTTCTATTTTCTTGAATTTTTATTTGATTAAAATATCTAAGATGTATAGAAACTTCTCTTAACTTTATTGATTGACTACAAATTAATTTTTTTGTAACCTGATATATTTGTTGTATATTATCCATGCAGCACTAGTTGTGGTCTGTATAGTTGAACAGAAAGGGACAGGCCAAAATTTTCAAATGTGGGTGCCTAAAGTTAGGTTCCTGAAGCCATTCTTAGGCACCTAAAAAACAGTGTGTGTGAAGGTGCTGAGCACTTGCATTTCCTTTTGACCTAAATGGGAGTTGGGGTTGCTAAGCAATTAAAAAAAAATCAGCAAGCTTTACTGATGTGCCTAAAATGTGGGTTTTGGATCCTAACTTTAAGGCGAAGGTTTCTAACCATCAGAGGAGTGACGTTCTGGAACAGCCTTCCAAGGGAAGCAGTGGGGGCAAAAGACATATCTGGCTTCAAGACTAAGCTTGATAAGTTTATGGAGGGGAAAGTATGATGGGATAGCCTAATTTTGGCAATTAATTGATCTTTGACTATTAGCGGTAAATATGCCCAATGGCCTGTGATGGGATGTTATAGGGGGTGGGATCTGAGTTACTACAGAGAATTCTTTCCTGGGTGTCTGGCTGGTGAGTCTTGCCCACATGCTCAGGGTTTAGCTGATCACCATATTTGGGGTCGGGAAGGAATTTTCCTCCAGGGCAGATTGGCAGAGGCCCTGGGGGTTTTTCGCCTTTGTAGCGTGGGGCATGTGTCACTTGCTGGAGGATTATCTGCACCTTGAAGTCTTTAAACCATGATTTGAGGACTTCGATAGCTCAGACATAGGTTAGGGGTTTGTTACAGGAGTGGGTGGGTGGGTGAGATTTTGTGGCCTGCATTGTGCCGGCGGTCAGACTAGACGATCATAATGGTCCCTTCTGACCTTAAAGTCCATGATTCTGATACATCCAGGCTCAAAAACTTTGGTCGTGTGTGTGTTCTGATGTACTGTCCAATTTTTATTTGTTAGTTTGTTTGTGAGTGTGTAAGACTTACTTACTTACTTGAGGAAAAAATCCTAGCAGGTAGCTTTAACTCTTTAGATTGTGTTCTTTGAAATGATTATCCCAGCAGCTGACAAGACAGAGGTTTGAAGTCTCACAGGGAAAATATGCTACAACTTTCATAATTTGCTCTCTGCTAACCTACATATTTGTTAATCCATGCTTTCACACAGACTGTCTCTCCCCATTTGACAGTAAGGGTTTAATAGCAGAGACATAGTGCTGTAATGATGTCTCATGACAAATCTTGTAATATGTTCTGTAATATATTGTGTAAATTAAGTATTATCAAAAATTAAAACTAGATTTGAGAAAATGAAAAGAGTACAACTTGCAATGTAATTCTTGTCTTTTAATTATTTGCTTCTCTCTTTTTGCTAACTTAAAAAATTAATTATGGTAATACATTATTTATTCTTAATAGCAAGGTTCTACTATGCTATTTTCCTGAATCCAGCTGAAACCTGATATCCATACAAGATTGCCTGAAAAAAGTATTGTGAAATATGATTCAACATGCATGCACATGACTTTCATGCGCATGTATTGTTATTTTCTTGGTTAGAAAACTTAGAAATCAAGAAACCAAGCTAGTCAAAAATGTAGGAAAAATAGTGGCTCTTAACTATACTGGCTTTCATTTTGATAAATTGTATTATTTCTGGCTTCCCATAGTGTCAATGCACTACAATACAAATAGATTCAATATGTGTAATGACCCAAAACACTATTTCCCTAAGGGTATGTCTACACTACGGAATAAGGTCGAATTTGTAGAAGTCGTTATTTTAGAAATCGGTTTTATATATTCGAGTGTGTGTGTCCCCACAGAAAATGCTCTAAGTGCATTAACTTGGCGGAGTGCTTCCACAGTACCAAGGCTAGAGTCGACTTCTGGAGCGTTGCACTGTGGATAGCTATCCCACAGTTCCCGCAGTCTCCGCTGCCCATTGGAATTCTGGGTTGAGATCCCAATGCCTGATGGGGCTAAAACATTGTCGCGGGTGGTTCTGGGTACATATCGTCAGGCCCCCCTTCCCTCCCTCCCTCCGTGAAAGCAAGGGCAGACAATCGTTTTGTGCCTTTTTTCCTGAGTTACCTGTGCAGACGCCATACCACGGCAAGCATGGAGCCCGCTCAGGTAACCGTCATCCTATGTCTCCTGGGTGCTGGCAGACGCGGTACGGCATTGCTACACAGTAGCAGCAACCCATTGCCTTCTGGCAGCAGACGGTGCAGTACGACTGGTAGCCATTCTCATCGTGTCCGAGGTGCTCCTGGCCACGTCAGCTGGGAGCGCCTGGGCAGACATGGGCGCAGGGACTAAATTTGGAGTGACTTGACCAGGTCATTCTCTTTAGTCCTGCAGTCAGTCCTATTGAACCATCTTATGGTGAGCAGGCAGGCGATACGGATTGCTAGCAGTCATACTGTACCATCTTCTGCCGGGCAGGCAAGAGATGAGGACGGCTAGCAGTCGTACTGTACCATTTTCTGCCGAGCAGCCATGAGATGTGGATGGCATGCAGTCCTTCTTCACCGTCTGCTGCCAGCCAAAGATGTAAAAGATAGATGGAGTGGATCAAAACAAGAAATAGACCAGATTTGTTTTGTATTCATTTGCTTCCCCCTCTCCCCCGTCTAGGGGAATCATTCCTCTAGGTCACACTGCAGTCACTCACAGAGAAGGTGCAGCGAGGTAAATCTAGCCATGTATCAATCAGAGGCCAGGCTAACCTCCTTGTTCCAATAAGAACAATAACTTAGGTGCACCATTTCTTATTGGAACCCTCCGTGAAGTCCTGCCTGAAATACTCCTTGATGTAAAGACACCCCCTTTGTTGATTTTAGCTCCCTGAAGCCAACCCTGTAAGCGTGTCCTCAGTCGCCCCTCCTTCCGTCAGAGCAACGTCAGACAATCGTTCCGCGCCTTTTTTCTGTGCGGACGCCATACCAAGGCAAGCATGGAGGCCACTCAGCTCACTTTGGCAGTTAGGAGCACATTAAACACCACACGCATTATCCAGCAGTATATGCAGCACCAGAACCTGGCAAAGCGATACCGGGCGAGGAGGCGACGTCAACGCGATCACGTGAGTGATCAGGACATGGACACAGATTTCTCTGAAAGCATGGGCCCTGCCAATGCATGCATCATGGTGCTAATGGGGCAGGTTCATGCTGTGGAATGCCGATTCTGGGCTCGGGAAACAAGCACAGACTGGTGGGACCGCATAGTGTTGCAGGTCTGGGACGATTCCCAGTGGCTGCAAAACTTTCGCATGCGTAAGGGCACTTTCATGGAACTTTGTGACTTGCTTTCCCCTGCCCTGAGGCGCATGAATATCAAGATGAGAGCAGCCCTCACAGTTGAGAAGCGAGTGGCGATAGCCCTGTGGAAGCTTGCAACGCCAGACAGCTACCAGTCAGTTGGGAATCAATTTGGAGTGGGCAAATCTACTGTTGGGGCTGCTGTGATGCAAGTTGCCCACGCAATCAAAGATCTGCTGATATCAAGGGTAGTGACCCTGGGAAATGTGCAGGTCATAGTGGATGGCTTTGCTGCAATGGGATTCCCTAACTGTGGTGGGGCCATAGATGGAACCCATATCCCTATCTTGGCACCGGAGCACCAAGCCGCCGAGTACATAAACCACAAGGGGTACTTTTCAATAGTGCTGCAAGCTCTGGTGGATCACAAGGGACGTTTCACCAACATCAACGTGGGATGGCCGGGAAAGGTACATGACGCTCGCATCTTCAGGAACTCTGGTCTGTTTCAAAAGCTGCAGGAAGGGACTTTATTCCCAGACCAGAAAATAACTGTTGGGGATGTTGAAATGCCTATAGTTATCCTTGGGGACCCAGCCTACCCCTTAATGCCATGGCTCATGAAGCCGTACACAGGCAGCCTGGACAGTAGTCAGGAGCTGTTCAACTACAGGCTGAGCAAGTGCAGAATGGTAGTAGAGTGCGCATTTGGACGTTTAAAGGCGCGCTGGTGCAGTTCACTGACTCGCTTAGACCTCAGCGAAACCAGTATTCCCACTGTTATTGCTGCTTGCTGTGTGCTCCACAATATCTGTGAGAGTAAGGGGGAGACGTTTATGGCGGGGTGGGAGGTTGAGGCAAATCGCCTGGCTGCTGGTTACGCGCAGCCAGACACCAGGGCGGTTAGAAGAGCACAGGAGGGCGTGGTATGCATCAGAGAAGCTTTGAAAACCAGTTTCATGATTGGCCAGGCTACGGTGTGAAAGTTCTGTTTGTTTCTCCTTGATGAAACCCCCCGCCCCTTGGTTCACTCTACTTCCCTGTAAGCTAGCCACCCTCCCCTCCTCCCTTCGATCACCACTTGCAGAGGCAATAAAGTCATTGTTGCTTCACATTCATGCATTCTTTATTCATTCATCACACAAATAGGGGGATGACTACCAAGGTAGCCCAGGAGGGGTGGTGGAGGAGGGAAGGAAAATGCCATACAGCACTTTAAAAGTTTACAACTTTAAAATTTATTAAATGCCAGCCTTCTTTTTTTTGGGCAATCCTCTGTGGCAGAGTGGCTGGTTGGCCGGTGGCCCTCCCACCGCGTTCTTGAGCGTCTGGGTGTGGAAGCTATGGAACTTGGGGAGGAGGGTGGTTGGTTACAGAGGGGCTGCAGTGGCAGTCTGTGCTCCAGCTGCCTTTGCTGCAGCTCAACCATACACTGGAGCATACTGGTTTGGTCCTCCAGCAGCCTCAGCATGGAATCCTGCCTCCTCTCATCACGCTGCCGCCACATTTGAGCTTCAGCCCTGTCTTTAGCCCGCCACTTACTCTCTTCAGCCCGCCACCTCTCCTCCCGGTCATTTTGTGCTTTCCTGCACTCTGACATTATTTGCCTCCACGCATTCGTCTGTGCTCTGTCAGTGTGGGAGGACAGCATGAGCTCGGAGAACATTTCATCGCGAGTGCGTTTTTTTTTCTTTCTAAGCTTCACCAGCCTCTGGGAAGGAGAAGATCCTGTGATCATTGAAACACATGCAGCTGGTGGAGGAAAAAAAAAGGGACAGCGGTATTTAAAAAGACACATTTTATAAAACAGTGGCTACACTCTTTCAGGGTAAACCTTGCTGTTAACATTACATACATAGCACATGTGCTTTCGTTACAAGGTCGCATTTTGCCTCCCCCCACCGCGTGGCTACCCCCTCAATCTTCCCCCCTCCCTGTGGCTAACAGCGGGGAACATTTCTGTTTAGACACAGGCAAACAGCCCAGCAGGAATGGCCTCCTCTGAGTGTCCCCTGAAGAAAAGCACTCTATTTCAACCAGGTGACCATGAATTATATCTCACTCTCCTGAGGATAACACAGAGAGATAAAGAACGGATGTTGTTTGAATGCCAGCAAACATACACTGCAATGCTTTGTTGTACAATGATTCCCGAGTACATGTTACTGGCCTGGAGTGGTAAAGTGTCCTACCATGAAGGACGCAATAAGGCTGCCCTCCCCAGAAACCTTTTGCAAAGGCTTTGGGAGTACATCCAGGAGAGCCACAAATGCCAGGGCAAAGTAATCCTTTCACATGCTTGCTTTTAAACCATGTATAGTATTTTAAAAGGTACACTCACCGGAGGTCCCTTCTCTGCCTGCTGGGTCCAGGAGGCAGCCTTGGGTGGGTTCGGGGGGTACTGGCTCCAGGTCCAGGGTGAGAAACAGTTCCTGACTGTCGGGAAAACCAGTTTCTCCGCTTGCTTGCTGTGAGCTATCTACAACCTCATCATCTTCTTCTTCTTCGTCGTCGTCCCCAAAACCTGCTTCCGTATTGCCTCCATCTCCATTGAAGGAGTCAAACAACACGGCTGGGGTAGTGGTGGCTGAACCCCCTAAAATGGCATGCAGCTCATCATAGAAGCGGCATGTTTGGGGCTCTGACCCGGAGCGGCCGTTCGCCTCTCTGGTTTTCTGGTAGGCTTGCCTCAGCTCCTTAAGTTTCACACGGCACTGCTTCGGGTCCCTGTTATGGCCTCTGTCCTTCATGCCCAGGGAGATTTTGACAAAGGTTTTGGCATTTCGAAAACTGGAACGGAGTTCTAATAGCACGGATTCCTCTCCCCATACAGCGATGAGATCCCGTACCTCCTGTTCGGTCCATGCTGGAGCTCTTTTGCGATTCTGGGACTCCATCATGGTCACTTCTGCTGATGAGCTCTGCATGGTCACTTGCAGCTTGCCACGCTGGCCAAACAGGAAATGAGATTCAAAAGTTCGTGGTTCTTTTCCTGTCTACCTGGCCAGTGCATCTGAGTTGAGAGTGCTGTCCAGAGCGGTCACAATGGAGCACTCTGGGATAGCTCCCGGAGGCCAGTACCGTTGAATTGTGTCCACAGTACCCCAAATTCGAGCCGGCAAGGCCGATTTAAGCGCTAATCCACTTGTCAGGGTGTAGTAAGGAAATCGATTTTAAGAGCCCTATAAGTCGAAATAAAGGGCTTCATCGTGTGGACAGGTGCAGATTTACATCGATTTAATGCTGCTAAATTCGACCTAAAGTCCTAGTGTAGACCAGGGCTAAGTTAAGTATCCTCATGCCTTATTGTCAGCTGTCTAAATGGGCATCTTGATTATCACTACAGAAGTTTTTTTTCTCCTGCTGATAATAGCTCATCTTAATTAATTAGCCTCTTACAGTTTGTATGGCAACTTCCACCTTCTCTCTGTGTGTGATATATATATATATCTTCTTACTGTATGTTCCATTCTATGCATCTGATGAAGTGGTAAGCACAAAAGCTTATGCTGTAATAAATTTTAGTCTCTAAGGTGCCACAGGTATTCCTGTTCTTTTTATAATTGTGTGATTCCATAGTTCAGTTTTTCAAAAATCTTTTTCCTCCTCCCTTTATTTCTTGAAATCCAATATTGTACTATAACTTGATCACTCTTCACACTCATTTATTAATGATCATTTGATCTTTTAAAGGAACACTGCCCATTGGCTTGGGGAAATATAAACATGTTTGATTATACAGACACTCTTGTATCTGGGAAAATGGCTTTGAATCTGTGGCCTGTGCCGCATGGTCTGGAAGATCTGCTAAATCCTATTGGCGTTACTGGGTCAAATCCGAATAAGGTAAATTGATGCTTATATTCTAATTTCAGCCTTAGTAACACACATCGACTTGTTTAGATTATAATGATTTCTAATTTATAATTTTGTTTCAGAACAATCATGAAAATTCTTTTTTCCTCAGGAAACTCCATGTTTAGAGCTGGAATTTGATTGGTTTAGCAGCCCTGTAAAGTTTCCAGACATGACAGTGACTGAAGAACATGCCAATTGGACTATATCTCGAGAACTAGGGTTTAACTACAGCCATGCGGGGCTGGTAAGGGGAATTTACTTTCCAGGATTAGTTACTAAAACTTTTAAAAATATATGCACATTTTGAAGTGCTTTATTTGTGGGGGGGAAATATTTTATATCAAAATACATGGAGCCAAATTCATTTTTGATAAACACCAGACAAAAAATGGCCAACAGGTTCTGTCTCTTGCAGTAAAACATATTGATGCTTCACTGATCAACCAAAATCTTTTAAGGGTATAACTGTGTCTTACTGTACAAACAGTTCTGGACTTTTTTCCAGCTTATATAAGCAATTTGTCTGGTTGTCTGAACGTTAAGTTGATTTTGCAAAAAATGTAACAGGGTTAGATTCTCCATCAGTGGCACTATTTCTTTTAATTTTTTGCTCCCTCTTCTCCCTCCCTCCTTCCCTCCCTCCCTCCCTCCCACAATTTCTTGTCTGTTGTATATAGGTTTTATCTTTGAAAAATCTTTCTTTTATCGTCTGTAATATGCTTGTAACTTCTTCGGCAATGCTGATATCTAAGTTTTATGTTCTAGCAAACTGCCACAAGTTAACTTTATTAGCAGTCAGAGATACTGTCTCTTGAGCTGAACCCCATGCATTCTGAGATTCGGTGGTCTTGAAATTTACCACCAAATCGATCCCTTGCTTCAAATGCTGAGCTTCCTTTTTTTTTTATTAAATTACGTTTTTAGCCCTGGTGATTAAATAGAAAACCTCAAAAATGTGAATGAAAACCAATTCAATGTTTTCTTCCTGAAACAATAGCTCTTAGATGTAAACTCATTCACATCAAAAGACTGTTGGCACTGAAACCTAAAAATGGTAGTTTAGGTCCAGTTTACTTCAGAATCCCATGGAGGCCGTGAGTATATGGTGTAACCTTAGAAGACTGATGCTAAGTGCTTTTCCGAACCATTCAGACTGTTTTATTTTGTAAATCTGTTTTGTTCTGGCTGGGACAAATATGAGTGGTGCTGCCATCCCAAGAGCCAGGTCGCAGTGCCACTCAGTCATGTTTGGCCTGGCTGCCTCCACAAATCTCCCTGAAATTAATCTGAAAATGTTGGTCAGTGTGGACTGCACTGTGTCTGCGAAGTCTTCAGAATGCTTTCCCCTGCCCACAAGCGCAACCTCAGTCTTGCTTGGGTTCAGTTTCAGCCAGCTGTTCTTTGTCCTTGAGCTGAACTTATCCAGGCACTGGGCCACCCTGGTGGTAGTGGCATGGCCATGTGTGGCGAATGATAAGTAGGGCTCTGTGTTGTCTACATATTGCAGGGTGAATAGAAATCAGTGATTTATTTTGAAAAACTAAAACACAGTTTTTATTTAAATCAGATATTTTTTATTTTATTTAAATTGTTTTTTAAAAATAACTCTTTCTTTAAAATGAAATCTGAATGTAATACAAAATATGTTAAATCCTAAACTTTTTATAATCTCAAAACATTTTAAATGAAAAATAAATATGTTGAATCCATGAGCCCTCTATCAAAAACTGAGTTAAAGGCTGCTTTTTTATGAAGAATGTAAATGGGAAAATATCTAACTTTTTGCGATCAAGGTTTATGAATATGGCACAGTAGATCATGTACTGTATTAAGGGCTTGTTTTGTTTAATAAACACACAACAGCATATAAAATTTATTTTTAATTAAATTCTAGTTGCTATCCTAATGCAGCTTGACACAAATCATGAGCAAAAAGTTAATTATCTAGTAAATAGGCAATATACGAATCACCATTTTCTAACATGCTAAACATGTACAATTAATAAGAATCTGAAAATATTAAGCTATATATTTGCTTAAATAAAAGTATTAGTGTACCAAATCTATTTAGTTGTAAATCAGCATGTTTTAATGGTTATATCAACCAATGAGAATGCACCTTTCTTTAGAAAATAGTTGAAGTACAAATGGAAAAGTTGATTAAAATTGATTATTTAAATTGCCGTGATTTAAGTCATTCCACCCTGATCAGGTGTCAGCGAAGCACAATATCTCCTCTGAGCCACAGTGTTTCCTTTTCTTCTCTGGAGGAGGAGTAAGTTGTGATACCCCTTTATGTGACAGCATATATGCACCCCAGTTTGGCTTGTAGCCCTATTGAGGCCTCACGGAGTAGGTTGGAAGCCGCCTCTGTACCCCCCCCCTCGCCCATCCCTACCCCCCACAATTCCTTTGTGCGGACATGTTGGTGCTAGGCATGATCTAACCCTACGTCGTCTGATTTTTGGAGCGGTTGAGACGTTTGAATCTGATTCGAGCAATGGGTGCTCAGTACCTCCAAGTCAGTTCATTTTATTAGGTGCCTAACTATACAATATTGGCTAACACCACCACCACCATCATCATTACTGTTGTAACTTACATGATCAAAAGTGTGAAAGAAATAAGTAGATACAGAAATAAAGACACAGCTTTATTGAAGAGCTTCCTGTTTTTTTAAATTGTGATCAGAAAGAGGAAAGGAAAAGGGGGGACAAAGTTGACAAAAAAATTAAGGTAACCTGATTAATGTTACTTTATGAACCAAAGGTGGTAACGTAGAAAGAGATGTGACAAGGGTTGATAAGGACCTGCATGTGAAAGAAGAAGGAAAGGGACAACTTTAAGAGAATACCAAAGTTGTGAGCTTGAGTACCTGAGGGACAGTGGAGTTGTCTGAAACTGTGGAAGAAAGGGGGAAAAGAGAAAAGACAAAGTTTACATGTTTGACAGTCAAGGATTGAGGAAGCAGAAGAAGATACTGAAGAAACAGGAAGAGATGCAATCCTTGATAGATGAGGGGTAGATCTGAGAGTCACTGGCATAGAGGTCATCCTTAAGTATGAGGTCGTACAAGGAAAAGAGAAGGGGGGCTGAGGCAGACATCTGAAAAACACCAACAAAGTTGAAGTGTGATGATAAATCAAAGGCAACACTGAAGGAGATTACATGCAGGTGAAGAACCAGGAAAGAAAGGGCTGTAAATCCACATAAGATGATAGTTTTGAGAGCTGGGTGGTCAACAGCATAAAAGTAGCAAAGACTGAAGAGAATGAGTATGGTCCTTAGGATTGGCAAGGGAGAGATTAGTAGTGACTATAGTGAGGGTTTGTAAATTTAGTGGTTTCTAAAATATTCATCTCTACAGTAGCTGAAACCTGTCTAGGTTCTTACTTTGAGCCCATGACTGTGGTACCTTTAAAAATTACAAAGCACTCTCCTGAATGTCCCCATTTCTCTTTCTTCAACGTGAAAGTAATAGTGTGCATTAGGTGAGAGTTATGCTTTCAGAATGCTGTAGTTTTCTCCCACCTATAGAACAGATTAGTAGCGGGGGTCCTCTGCTTATCACAAATGGACACAAAATTCTGATAATTAATTACCAGTCCAAATCATCTCAACTGCAGAAGCTGCTTTAAAGTAGGAACAAGGCAGACTTGCAGAATCTAGAAGTTGGGGTTGCATATCTGATGCATATTTGTATCTTCTTGATTGACTGTAAATCTTGAAAGGACAGATACTTTTTAAGGCTCGAATATAGCCATCTCAGTACTGTTTCTTCTATCCTTAGCTGAAACTAGAAAGTGCAGAGAAGTATACATTCTAATAGTTTTTAAAGGCACAACAAAGACGATGTGATACATTTTGAACTTCAAAAATATTCAGGGTTTGTTTTTGAAGGTTAGGGTGATGGGTGGGCGTTTATTTCCTATTGAACCAGCTTGCTTGTCCCTATGATACTCAGGAGCGAGATCATAGCAGTTAGAGGAGGAGAAAGGTGTATTAGCATCCATTTCCATGTCAAACCAGTAATGCATAATGCTACTCATACTCTCTCCTTTTTCTCCTTTTGTATTTTTTTTCACATTGCTCCCTACTAAAACTCTAATAATCTACTTTGTGTCTGCCAAGTATCCTCTTGCTGCTTCTTCTAATCCCTCTTTTAAAACATTTTTCATAAAATCTTCCTAAATTTGTCTCATCACTATTGATATCTCCACAGCATACCTGTTGTTCCTTTTATTGTCTTACCTGTTTTTATCTTGTAAACTCTTTGGGGCAGGAGCTGTGTGTTCTGTAAAGTACTGCGTGTTTTTATGGCTGTATAATAGTAATGACGCCAAGTAACTTGAAAATAAAACTTTGGACAAGACAATGTATGCTACACATTCAAGATCTGACACTGGCTTAGAGTTTACCAATTACCAATATACTTGTTTAAAATTTTTGACACGTTAGTCCCAAATGCTGTGGAAACCACCAGGCCAAGTTACCATAATGGTGTTCTATAAAACATCTTCTGTTAACATACGAAACAATAGACATGTATTTTTGTTTAATTTTGAAATGCACTATGTTGCACTTTTAACCAATAAATTAGTAGAAATATTTAAGATCCAGTATAGATACTGTTATAATGGAGCATTTATAGATCCATTGTTACTTCAGATATTTCAGACGCTTTCTCAAATATTAAATTTATATATTATCTACTTTACTGTCCCACACTTCATAGAATTTCAAGTTTTTGATGTTGACCTCAACAGGATAAATGCATTTTCCCACTGGGCTTGACCTAAACCATGAACTTTCTGACCTAATATACAGGTACATTTTGTCTTATGATCCAACATGTGCAAATAGTTTTAAATCTTATTTTACAGTGGTATTAATTGAAGGTCAAGAAAATGTAGTGATTTTTTCAAATTTATAGTGAATTAAAAGCAAAACTAGATTTGAACTGAGCTTCCTAATTCCTAGTCACTTTCTGTCAACTTGAAATCTAGTCAGTTTTGAAAAATGAGTTTCCAGTGCTACCCATGTCCCCTAAATCCACTTGCCAATGTGTATAATATGCAAACAGATTTCCTTTCCCCCCCACCTTTTTTCTTTTTTTTTCCTACCTGGTTGCTTTTCAACAAATACTCACACAAACAAGAAGGAAAACTGAATGACTTGTATAGGAAAAAGAGTGAACTAAAGAAACAAACTGAAAAATTATTTTGCTGTAATCAATTTAAGTTACAGTAATCTTCATTGTGTATAACAGCTGCAGCCATAAAAGGAATTTCAGAAGTGTGGTTTGTTTGTCCTTGAGTTGATGCTTTAACTCTAAACAGTAGCACATGGGCTAGTTCTGTTTCCTTATTTTTATTTGGCTTTGTTCTACTTACGATGAGCCTCTACCAGAAGCTAGATAAATACGTGCTTTTATAAAGCTTTTAATAATTTTTTATAAATATGACTCTTTATAGGATTCAATATATAGCTTCCCCACTCCTGGCATGAATCTTTTATCCACTGACTTACCTCCCATAATTCTCTTTTGTCTTAAGGTTTTTTTTTGGTTTTTGTTGTTTTGTTTTGTTTTTTCCACAGCATCTCTTGCTATAACATCAAGTGTATATCCCAGTTTTTGATGACTCCAAGACATTTGGAATAGACATTATTGTGCCATATCTACTATATGTTCTTTTAAAAAACATTTCCACTGGTGGCAGTTCTAAAGTGTTTGCCTCTTCTCTTTTCTGACTCCAATTCACTTGCTTCAGAAGCTGCACTCATTAAAGTGGACAGGCTAGAGTGGCTGGATTACTAATCAGGTGGGAGATGGGTGGGGAACAAGTCGAGGGATTTTCAGTAGATATGTGCTGCAAGGGAGTGTGATATGTTCATTCCCTTTGGAAATGCTCATGACCTAATTTAAGCCATTTTAAATGTCCCCATATAACACTGTGAACCATGCCTTGTGTGAGTAACTATAATAATACAGTTTAAAAAAAAAATGACCTAACTAAAACTGAAGGCAAAGCATAGTACTTCCAGTCTTAAGTATAGGTTATGTACCTTTTTTTAACCGGCAGTAGGCTATAATCTGTCAGTTCCTTCTACATTAAAATATTTTATGTACATTTTAAGGCATAATACTCTTTAAAAGACCAAACAATATGTCTCTCTGTCTCTGGGTGATTCTGGTTTGCCTTGTTTCTCAAATGAGAACCAGCCACACTTACAAAAAAAATCTTCTTACCAAGATGTTCTAGGTAGTTCCACAATGATGTTACCCAGTAATCTAGCTCTGAAAGAGGGTTTCTGCGAACAAAATGGGAATTTCGGACAAAATTTAGTTTTTAATGCACGTTTCACATGGCAAAGGGGCTTACTCTTCACTTTTCCTTTTACCATATTTTATAACAACATATAACATATATTTTATATGCATCCTGAAGAGCTCAAAATGTGAATTCAGATTTAAAGATGTGTGCAGTTGAATAGAATTAGATGTTTCTGCAGCATTTCAGCTTCTGACAAATAAATTGCAAAAATGATAGCACTTAAAAATAGAGCTGGATGAATAACTGATTTTTCAGTTTGCTGGCCGTACCAAAAAAATGGGAGAAATTTTGTTTTGAGTTGACCCAAAACAAAAAACTTTTGACTTTTTTAGACAAAGTTCAAAATAAAAAAAAATTGGCTTTGTTTTTTGTGTTTTTTTGTTTTTGTTTTTTGCTTCTTTCTGTTAAACTTCATTCAGGTTTATTTAATCAGTTGTTTTGAATCCAAAAATCAAGCAATCGAAAATCTTTTTTTTTTAAATGTCATAATAAAACATTTTGGATTTTCTTTATCTGAAACAATTCGACAAGTTTAACACAAATTCACAAAATGTCTCAATCGAGCCAAATCTGTGGTTTTTGATGGAAACAAGTTTAAGATGAAAAATGTCACCATGCTCTGTGAATTGTGGCTTATGCTAAAGAGCATACCAAAGCCCTATATCACTAAAACCCCTTAGGAATTCAGTCTTTGTACAGTGCAAACCATTCCACAAACAAAATATCAGAAACTCCATTACCCTGGCATCATGCTGTAAAATGAAGAAGTTTTACACCAACCATAGACTAAAAGTTACTAAATTATTGGAGAAAGAAAGAAGGGGCAGAGGAGTCATGGGTGACCGAGCTGGTTTATTTGATTTTGTATCTATAAAATGCATCTATGTAACAGGTTCTGAACACATGAAATGACGCTTAATGAACTCAATCGCAGGATGCACCTAGCTCCCCTGAGGGTTACTTTGAGTGTCCCTACTCCTTTGGGGAATCTGTTCAGCATTAACGAACACTGGCTTTACAGTCACATTGGAAATCAATTTGAAACTCTCCCCCTGATTTTCCAAGTTTCCTGGACATGTTCCACACTTCCTCTCAGACCTCATATTCACGTATTTTTTTTCCCACACTCTGCTTCTCCATTCTTGGCTTTTTCTCTGCCCCCTTCCAGCAGATATCCTGAATAGTTTGCTAAATGAGGATGGGGTTGTCACTTTCATCTTGTGGTTTATGGGGCTCTTGCTAGAATCTCATTTGATGGTAGTGTGCCAACTGCTATTGTCCCTCCATCCAACTAATTTCTTTGGAATGATATCTCTGCCCGTGGTCGTAAGCAATTACAAAAATCAAAACACTATAAAGCTAGCACTGTTTAATCTTTTTTAAAATATAATACAGAGCTGCACTCGGATTGAAAGAAACAACCAACAGATTTTTAATAATAGAGTATAAATGATGCTACACTATATAAAAATACTATGTTTACATCAGGTATGTAGCTTGCATGAGAGCAGAAGTGTGTGGAAGGATAATGTACCATTTTCTTTTACAGAGTAACAGGCTAGCTAGAGATAATGAATTAAGAGAAAGTGACAAAGAGCAACTCCGTGCAATTTGTACACGAGACCCTCTGTCTGAAATTACTGAGCAAGAGAAGGACTTCCTTTGGAGCCACAGGTATACAGAATCATAAAGATGGGGTTCTGGAATTCTCTAATTTCATAAAACCCATAATTGACTTGAATTCTGGCCTGTTGTTCAATATGTTCCTCCATGCTGTGGTTAGCATTTTAGGAAAGCATATATTAGTTTTATTCGCCTGTGGAGGAAAGCTGGTGATAGAAGTAATCCATTATGTGCCTCAGTTCTGCAAACTTACCTGTGTGGACAGATACCTGTGCCTATGCAGAGCCCTGCTGACTTCAGTGGGACTCTGCAGGCATAAAGGTAGATAATAATTCAGGATTGAAGGCCATAGTCTGCTGTGATCAAAGTAAAGCTACTTACTGTTTACCTCTAGTTTGTATATGCAAGTTACATTTTTTTCTCTTTTACAGACATTATTGTGTAAATACCCCAGAAATTCTACCCAAACTACTTTTGTCTGTTAAATGGAACTCTAGAGATGAAGTAGCCCAGGTAATATACTACGTTCAAGAAACTTCACTAAAAGACATTTTTAAACACAGTTTATCTTTGATTTTTAAAAATGATTTTCTTCAACTTGCATGAAAGTGAGCAATCATTAGTAAGAATATGTTCTGCTCATGCAACCCATTGGTTGGTGTGTGTTCTGTCCCGCTCTGTGCCTGATCCGCAGATGATGGTTCCAGAGCCTGACTGTTTAGTTCAAGAGCCTTATGCTTTTACCTCTAGAGGTCCCTGGTTCAATCCCTGATGTCTTGCTGACCAGTGAGTTACGCTGGGTTGACATTACTGACTATGGAATGACTGAGGTTGTAGTTCTTATTATAGCTTTTTTTATATAGTGGATAAAATATTTAGCAGGTTGTAGTTTCCATCAAGTTAGTCATTTGTGAGATCAAAGAGTAAATTCAGTTTATAAACAGGAAAATGATTGCTGGTTCTACATGGGTCTATTTCATAATTATTGTTTTGTCCATGCAACTGCTTAAAATGTCTGGATTATGTTGGGTTGCTGTTTTTGTTCCACACAGATGTACTGCTTGGTAAAAGACTGGCCTCCAATCAAGCCAGAACAGGCAATGGAGCTTTTGGACTGTAATTATCCTGACCCAATGGTGCGGGCATTTGCAGTTCGGTGTCTGGAGAAGTATTTGACAGATGACAAACTGTCTCAGTACTTAATCCAGCTAGTACAGGTACCCTAGCTTGTTCTGTTAAATTAGAGGTTATGTATATTTGTTGTTGACAATTGTTTTTAATTGTTGCTTCCTAAATCTGATGTAGCAAGAAGAAAGAGAAGAAATCTTGACAACAGTAATTCCCGAATGATTCTGGGGAATAGATAATAAATATAGTAGTTGCAATCTTGAAATATCAAACCTGGTTTATTTTACTGTAAATAGGATGAGAGATGTTAGGACCCTGCAAGGAGATACAGAGCTGTTCTGCTGATTCACACTGGCAGCCAGACCATTTATCTTTCTGTAGCATGGACTGGGCAGGCTCCCTGAAGAGGCAATTCTAGAAATCTTAGCAAAATGATCCTAAAATTTGGTTGGTGTCAGTTAAGTTAACAATAAAGGAAATGTCAGATAGGTGGTAAGTTTGGACCTTTATCCAGTGTGTGTACTGTTAAGCAGGGTTGGAACAATGCCTGCTAACATTTACAAACCCTAAAGTATGAGGGCCAGACATTCTTGAGTTATAAAATCCTTTTCCAGAATGTGGCTCTTCTTTTATGTAGTATGTGTCTGGATGTGTATTATCCATGGGAATATTCGCAAAATGAAAGCTACAGTTCCAAATTCTCATTTCTTCTTACCCATAAATAGGTTCTGAAATATGAGCAATATTTGGATAATCTGCTGGTGAGATTTTTACTCAAGAAGGCACTGACCAATCAAAGGATAGGACACTTTTTCTTTTGGCACTTAAAGTAAGTTTGTTTGGGAAGTTTTTTGGGTAATGGTGGGTTTCCACCAAGCTGTACCACAGTAGTTAGGGGTATGAAATGTCAGAAATGTTCTTTTTTCTTAAGTTATTACTACTATAAGGTTTTTTTGTTTTTTGTTTTCTATATAAGCAGCATGACTCCCCAGACAAAATTAGTTCTCAAATCTGTAGTCAGTTTAGGTGTCTAGAAGTTTGGAAAGATACAGAAGATAATGAACTACCTATTTTTGATATAGACTTTTTTTGTAGTAGCCAGCATTGTATCTATGGTAGGAATGTCATGCTCAGTCACTGAAGAGAGCTGAATTCCTTCTCTGATGGGCTGAGGGTATAAATTTAGGGCCCCATACTCCCTCATCCACAATAGATCTACTATTCTCAGTGGAAGGTTTATACAAAGATCAATAACTTTTAATTATTATTTATTTGTTCAGTACCTCGTTATTGCATTTAGTATCACTAAGTAAGAAAGTATGCTCCCCTTTAAGACCACCATTCTTCATTTGTCTTCCTCCTTTAGCCTCTTCTGTTTCTTTCAATCTTTCCTGCCCTCTAGTTAATGTTTACTGAAGCAGTCACTCTGGCTTTACTGTGTACTTATTCTGTTCCTATGATTAGACCTTTGTTGTTGCATTATATCATACGTAATCCCCACCATGGGTGCAGGGGACTGGACTAGATGACTGTCAAGGTCCCTTCTAGTCCTGTGATGCTATGTCATGATCATTGTTCCACTTTGTCTTTTCTATTTAAATCACTGCTGAAAGTGTAATGAAAAGTTTAAAAAATAGGTGGTGCATGATGTTGAAATTTAAATTAAGATTGCTGAGTAGTTAGTAACTGGGTGTGTACAGTGTGATTATCAGCAAATTCCACGTGAACTGTAGATAATTAGCTCATCTCCATTGCTTGCTTTCTAAATTTAAGATATTTCAAATTACTTTTATATGCAAGAGCCTTTTAAAATTGCCTGTTGTGAAGAATGTGGGAATTATATGTATTTTATGAATATTTTTATATACACACCCCCCCCCCCCACACACACACACACCCCCTGTGGGTTTTGAAGTTACTGTGCTGCTGTCTAAAGGGCAACTAAGTTAAATCAGCCATAGTTAACTTACTTCTCTAGGAACCAAAAGTGAATGGCTGAGTGTAGACAATCCCGATGGACAGTGGAGCTGATAATTCCTTGGAGGTGTACCTTCACTAATGTGGAAATGGGCTCACAGACCCCATTGCAGGGGAGTGCAAGAGCTCCACTTGACACCTTTAGGGTTTCAATGCAGGAACTTTCAAACAGAGAGATTGAATATAGTTGAAAAGCTGAGCTTCTGAGTCATAGGGATAGAGCAGGGGTGGGCAAACTTTTTGGCCCGAGGGCCACATTGGGGTTGCAAAACTGTATGGATGGCGGGATAGGGAAGGCTGTGCCTCCCCTAACAGCCTGGCCCCTGAACAATCCAACCCCCCCGCTCCCCACCCCCTTACCATGCCACTCAGAGCAGTAGAAGCTCGTGTCCACGCTGCTGCGCTCCCCGGCAGGAGCGACAGACCAGAACACTGGCAGTGCGGTGATCTGAGGCTGTGCGGGAGGGGGACAGTAGGGGAGGGGCTGGGAGCTCAGAGCCCATGCAGGATGGTCCCACGGGCCATAGTTTTTCCACCTCTGGGATTGAGGGTCTGCAGAGAAGCAGGCAGTAACTGGTCCCTGGGAAAACAGGAAGGGTGTCAAGGCTAAATTGGGCCTACCTAGTTGCATGAGGTAAATGCTACATTTGGGCAAGGCTGTATGCTTTAGTTATTTTTAAACCTTTTCTCTCTGCTTATGATGTTCCTGTGGATGGATAAATCATACTGTTTTGAACAAGCTGTTCTGTCACTGTGTTTACCAGGGGATCACAGCTCCCAGAGTGGGATCTACAGCAGAGACCAAAACCAGTTGGACCTGCTGAGGTAATATAGGTGATAAGCAGGAGGTGCTGTAGCCTGGTCTGTTGTCTAAAAGTGGGCTGAATTGTAGAATTCCATTCTGAGAGAAGTTTGCCAACTGAGAAAAGGGCTTAGGGACAGCATCAGTCCTGAACAGTAATACCTGTAAACGTTCTTCTTTTACCTGTAAATGTTCTCTTTTGATAGGTCTGAAATGCACAATAAGAATGTAAGCCAGAGATTTGGTTTACTTTTGGAGTCCTACTGTCGAGCATGTGGGATGTACCTAAAACATTTGAGCAGGCAGGTGGAGGCTATGGAGAAACTGATAAACCTCACAGATATTCTCAAGCAGGAGAAGAAGGATGAGACACAAAAGGTATTAGTGTTATCAGAATACAAGAATTAAGTATGTTTAAAAGTAGTTTAATAAGAATTGGGTCTTTACTTGGTTAGTTAAAATAGTGTGATATTGTTTACTTCAGTAGGTAATAAAATTCCTTACCAGGTGTTGGAGATATTTTTACTGTACCCACTGTTGTTGGCCAGTTGAGTAGGTCATTTGAATAGAAGTTATGTCATACAACTATTTTCAGGTAATATGAAAATAATGCTTCAGTTCTGGTGATATATGACGAATGTGGGATTGTTTGTTTTTTGACACTTGCATTACACAAAATTACATCTTAAATCAAAATTAAAACCCAGCATGTATGTACATCTTTCTCATATCATCAAAAAGCTCTCAAATTAAATGTGATTACCCTTCAGGTACAGATGAAGTTTCTTGTTGAACAAATGAGGCGGCCAGATTTCATGGATGCTTTACAAGGCTTTATTTCGCCTCTTAACCCTGCTCATCAGCTGGGAAATCTCAGGTATGTTCTTCCCTTTTGGAATTTATCAAAATATTTAAGTAGACCATTTTTCTGAAATTAGTGCATCTTGGAAAAGATTTTAAAATTTGCAAATGTACTAAGAAAATTGTATAGTGGATACCTTTTTTTGACCTTCAGCCGGTAGCATCAGTAGAACAAATTTAAATGACAACAGAATAATGCTTGTAATTTTTGTGACGAACCTTATTATTTGGCCAGAAGTGATGCTGCCTAAAGATTATATACACCCAGTTCCCTTGTCAGGCAGCACAAGCTAGTGCACTTCTTGCTTTAAGTTTAAGGCTCAAGAATGAAAATTTGTTGTTAACTGTCCATCTCGGCCCATCATAGTGTTATATCAGCCATAAATGTTGGGGGAAGGAAAGGTGAAGAGAGCAGGAATACTACAAAAGCACCATTCACTGATGTCAACAATTCACTTATTTAGAAGAAATCTTATCTTTTTGTAGGCTTGAGGAGTGCAGGATTATGTCCTCTGCAAAAAGGCCACTGTGGTTGAACTGGGAAAACCCAGATATTATGTCTGAACTGTTGTTTCAAAACAATGAAATCATCTTTAAAAATGGAGATGGTAAGGGCATAAAATACATGCATATCCTGGTTAACATATTTTGTGTGTTTATACATAAGCTTCTCTTCTCATACCTTGCTTGTTGACTTAAAGTTTTTTTTATAAATAATTTATAGAATACATGTTAAAGAAATACACATACCTTGTTTGGCTTTGCTAATTTAAGTTTCTAAAGAAATAGGTATGTAAAAAATGAACAGACAAACACATGCACAGTATTTTTGTAGCTGTGCTCCTAGGCTATGCTTTTTCAAACACTCATTCTCTTTTATAACAGTATTTTGAACTGTTTTTTCCTCTTAGAACATGACTCGTGTATGCACTGTACTTTCCGTAGTATTGAAATTGATTTGCCTAATATTTTCGTAGGGTCACTCTGTTCTTATCATAACATTATTTAACTGTAATACTATTCAAATGTTAAAATGCTTTAGAATATTTGCTCTCATTTGTAAAGCCATGTTTGATGTCTGTCTCATTAATCCACGCAGATTTTAAAGTTGTATATTACTAATCTGTCTTGAAACTACCTTAACTCTTTTACATTAATCCTTAAACATTAAAGGTTGCTTTTGACTTCTGCATAATGATAATACATTTTAGAGAACGTAACTTTAGTGAAATACACAACCTACTCTCTCACTCTAAAATATATTGGGGGGAAAATAATAAAATGGCATGTTACAAAAAGCTTTCATGCTAATCTTATAAAATCCACAACATCTGTATGTACTTGAATATTTCAGATTTACGTCAGGACATGCTGACACTTCAGATCATTCGAATTATGGAAAACATCTGGCAAAATCAGGGTCTTGATCTTCGGTGAGCAACAGAAAGTATTCTCAAGTGCCATTCTTAATGTTTTCTGTTTAACCTAATTACTACATATGGTTCCTTTCCTTTTCCATGAAAAACAAATTTAATACTTAAAATGATTTGTAAGCATGTTTCTGTATGTTATACTGTAACTTTTTTATAGCTTCAAGATATCCAAAATATTGGGGTCTATAAACTGATCTGTGCCTTATGTGCAAATTTATTTTGGTGGCCTCAGTCTAGTTCCAGGGAATGACCATCAGTAAGACTAGCATTGTTGCGGTACATGGGTTTCCATTACCATTTTATAATATTGACAGGTAATAGATCTGGAAATGTATTTTTAAAATTTCATGTGGGGTTTTCGTAAAGCAGGCTTTACTTAAGCTTTATTCTGTATTATGCGTTTCTGGTAGCACTCAGGTTGTGCTGAATGTTCCCTTTCTTAAAGTCCGGAGACTGTCCTGCCCTTAGTATTAAAGTCTGAAGATGTGTACAGAAATATATCTTGATAAATCTACCTACATTTTGAAAGTTCCATTAATGATTATTTATAATATTCAGAGGTATTGCGGAAACCACTAGTAATTTTCAGCTTAAATCTTTTCCCAGTATAAAACTAGGAAATAAATTGCCAGATACAGTGGCCGCATTGTCAGGCACATTATTGAACTCTAGTGTTCTTGCACACTTTTTTTCTCAACACTTCTGATAATACAGCTGTAGGGTTTTCAAATGTATTTTCAGCAGAACCCTATGAAGTAAATCCAGTAATAGATGGTATTGATCTGAATAAGGTTACTAACCAGAACGTGCATATTTTGTACTGTTTAAAATGCTTTGTCTGAAAACTTGCTCTTTATAAATTTTTTTTTTTCTTCCAGGATGTTGCCTTATGGCTGTTTGTCTATTGGTGATTGTGTGGGACTTATTGAGGTGGTGAGAAGCTCTCACACAATTATGCAGATTCAGTGTAAAGGTGGTCTAAAGGGCGCATTGCAGTTCAATAGCCACACATTACATCAGTGGCTCAAGGACAAAAACAAAGGAGAAATGTGAGTTTTTACTTTTCATTTACTTACTCTCCTTCTTAATTCACCTGTTTTGTTTTTTTGATGGAGGCCTCAAAACAGAAATATTTCATGCCCCCCTTCTTGAAGTGGGAAACTAAGTCATACAACGATACTCCATGCCTGGTATTTTTGCTATCCGTAGCTCTCCTCTTGAGGTTAAGGCATTGTGTGATATCGTTGTGACAATGCGGCAGTTGGCAAAAAATTGGCAATTTAAGATATACACTTGCACAAATACATGGTTTAAATCTGAATTTGCATTAGTAGCTTATCAGAGTGAAAATTTCTTTTCTGTGTCTTTAAGAAAGTTGCTCTAACGGTGAGTTTATTATTATTTTTTGATCTTATTCCAGGTATTGTTGTATTCCAAGAATGCTGAATCTCTACCTAGCTTTTTGATTCAGTTCAATGATAAAATCCAAGTAGTTTTGATTTGCGTGTTTTCCATAAGCTAGTATACACATATCTTTCATTACATGCATGTTATTTCTGCACTTCTGTGGTGTTAGAACTTCAGAAGAATAATGCCTCCAGTGTTTGTTTTCAACAGGTATGATGCAGCTATTGATTTGTTTACACGGTCTTGCGCTGGCTATTGTGTTGCTACCTTCATATTGGGAATTGGTGATCGTCACAATAGTAACATCATGGTGAAAGATGACGGACAAGTAAGATACTATTTTGCAAAAACATCTCTCTCTACAAATATTTGCGTATGTAATATGTCATCTTCCATTTGTCTGATGTATAGACACTAATTGTATGGCATATTGGTGTTTGGATCACAAAATCCAAGCAAAAATTAGATGAACTGATATTACTATGAAAGCTGTTTAAATATGCAGAATAATTTTAAAATATGTAACCATTTTCTTCCTTTTTAAAGCTGTTTCACATTGATTTTGGACACTTCCTTGATCACAAAAAGAAAAAATTTGGTTACAAACGAGAGCGTGTGCCATTTGTCTTAACGCAAGATTTCTTAATAGTGATTAGTAAAGGAGCCCAAGAATGTACCAAAACAAGGGAATTTGAAAGGTAAGCCATTTTTTAATTGAGCAGTTATTTCACATAAATCAAAATATACAAAAACTGATTAAATATATTTGGGTATATCTTGTAGCAAAATCTCTGTCCTAGATGTAATAAAGAACCAATGATCTTTAATACTCTGGCCTTTGACTTGAATCAAGCTATGTGCTGTAAGACCCTGTATAGGTACCTGTAGAGCTTAATGTAACAAAGAAACATACTGCAGGCATACAATGTTACATTAATTCAGTTGTGGGGGGACACATCTCTTTCAAATCGTCCACCCAGGATAGATCTTTTATGGTTCTCGGCACTCAAGGCCTGTGGGCCTGATCCTTCAAGGTGCTGATCCACTACTCCTACTGACTTTGCTGGATCAGGCACATACATAACCACTTAGGGTGACTGGATTAAAAATGTAATTTTACTCAAGTGTTAGAACTACAGCTAACCTTGATTAATTTTACTGGTCATGAGCAATTTTGTTTCAATGCTTAAAACGTATTCTTTTTAGACTTGCATAATCCAAATGTCTCAGTGAATTTCCTTAAACGTTCCTAAATAATTCACCTTTTGAGAAAGCTTATGAACTGAAAATAGGGATTTAGAATCTCCAATTTACCTGGTATCAATTAGTCACTGAAAAATGACTTGAACCTAATCTAAGGGAAAATCTACACTACAGCACTATATTGGCTCAGCTGCACCGATATAGACACACCACCATAGCGTGTCTGGTGAAGACACGCTCTGCCTCTCTCCTTCTGTTGCCTCCAAAAAATGAAAGTTGTGGATCCAGTATCTTGAACCAACCAACTCTTGTCTTTCTTTTTAAGGTTTCAGGAGATGTGTTATAAGGCTTACTTAGCAATTCGGCAGCATGCCAATCTCTTCATAAATCTCTTCTCCATGATGCTTGGCTCAGGAATGCCAGAATTACAGTCTTTTGATGATATTGCGTACATTCGAAAGACGCTTGCACTGGACAAAAGTGAACAAGAAGCTCTAGAATATTTCATGAAGCAAATGAATGATGCTCATCATGGTGGCTGGACAACGAAAATGGACTGGATCTTCCACACAATAAAGCAACATGCCTTGAACTGAAATGAAAGTGAAGAATTTAAAAAACTCATCGCCCACTTATGGGTGCTACACTGCACTGTTAATACTTGTCAGCAGCAAAGACTGGTTGCATAGGAATTGCACAAACCACAGACGATGGCATTAGAATTTACAGCAAGAGCAGAGATGAAATATTCAGACATTTTTCAAAAATAATGTAAAAAAAACGGGGTTTCAGATAGCACTAAACTGTACACTTCAAAATTAAGCTTTCGTGTGATGTGCAATTTCATATTATGCCTTAAGCCCAAAAAGGTAAACTTGAAAGATGGGCAGGGGGTTTTTTGTTTGCTTTTAATTTGGATAATTTGGGAAAAGGAAAACATGCTATCATCAAAAATAGTCCATTACATATTACAGTAGGTCTAGTATCACTTTAAAGATTATGTAGGGTTTCAAAGAGTTGAAAACGAAGAAAACTTAGTGTTTTCATGGCTATTTAAATAGTAGGTATAGTGTTGAAAACTCCTTCAATTTCAGCTCAAAGATCTAAAAGATTAAAGTGAGGGGACAGTTCCTTTAAATTTAGTCATAGGCATAATATATTTTGGTTTTAATTGAACCTTTGACTTCTGGGTCTGTCATCATCTGCACCATTTTGAAAGAAGTAGGAAATAAGCCTACTATATGGTATTCTCCTGGACAGTATTTGTAGGGATGCGATTTATAGCTTCATGAAGAAACTCTGGTCCCCACCATCCCAAATGACTGGCTTAGAAATTGAATGGGCAGGATAGGGTTTAGTGCAACAAAACATTGTAGTGTTCGCTTTGGGATTTGATTTAATCTAATCTGAACACAATAGATTTTTTCACACATGTTTTCCAGAGCCTAGCAAAAGGTTAGTTATTAAAATTATTGAAAGATTATTTTTATAAAGGCTATTTATATAATAGGAACTATTAATATATTTTCTTTATTTACATGATTTGTCCCATATTCACTCATTTAATTTTGCAACCCAGTTCTCTCTGTCCAAGACTCTCATTGTCCATCATGTCACTGATGGTGTTCAGTTGTAATCATAGGACCAAATCAACCCTGGTGAAAGAGTATACAAGTACCACTGAAATCAGTGGGAGATATACCCACTTGTGCCACAGGTGAACTTGGCCCAAGTTTCTTCAAAGAATCTCAGGCAATATTCTTAACATTACTTTGGGCTGGTCTACAATACCATAGTAAATTGACATATGTTACGCTACTTTAGTTATGTGAATAACATAACTGAAGTTGACATAGCTTAGGTCGACTTACCACGGTGTCTACACCATGCTATGTTGATGGGAGATGCCCTCCCGCCGACTTACTTTGCTCTTCTCAGGGAGCTGGAATACAGGAGTTGATGGGAGAGCGCTCTGCCATCGACTTCATGGGTCTTCACCAGACCCACTAAATCAGCACCGCTGTATCAATCGCAGCATTGCCAATCTACTGGTAAGTGTCAACAGGGCCTAAGTGATATGCTGGCTGTTCAAGGAATGTATGGTTAAACTCTCAGCCTCTGGGTCCACCTTTTCTCTCTCTTTCTGTTCTTTCCTGCTCCTTTGAAAGCAGCTGCTTAATCCCTATAACCAACACATGAGAAATAAGTTTGGATTTTCAAAATGATCACCAGCTACTTATAGCAAACACTTTGGAAAGCTCACAGCATATAGAGCTGCCAAACAAACATTTTATAGCATGCATGCTCTTGCACATGCACTCTGGCTTTCTTGTATGCTCTGTGTGAGAATGTAAGTGAGAGAAAAATCTAATTGTTGGGCACCAGTTTTTGCAAGTATCAAGACTACCAGAGGTTCTTAGATTGTCCTTATGCACCGCTGCAGGCAGAACTTGCTACTCTGAAACACTTTTTTATAAACTCTTAAATATTTTTGACAATAACTTGCTAAACCCAGGATTCTGAGGATGATATTTACTCCAGTGTTTTAAACTTGTTAGATTTACAGCATCTAAAGTGAATTCCAAAAGTCCAGGAGTTTGAGGCGGATGGGTTTATTCACATGCATGCACACAGACAGACACGTATGTGTCGGTGCCACTCAAAAAAAGTGCAATACCAGATGTAATATAAATGTGCTGACAGTTGGTATTAGAATATAACTTTATAAATAAACTGTACTTTGTACAGGCTGTATTTATGAAGTATTGAGTGGTTGGATTCATTTAGCAAATTGTAATACTTTAAAAATGTGCAATCATTATATTATAGAAGACATGGATAGCAGTGAATTGGGGATTATAAAGCCAAGGCTTTTATTTGGTCTTTTAAGACAATTTTGTAGTCATTTGATTCCTACAGTTAGTTATTGAACACACAGGTACTAAATCATGTGGTAAAACACTTCATGAAAAATACAAAGAAATACTAAGATTTGAGTGGGGAAATATGGCTAGTCTTATCTCTACTGAACATTTTAGAGCAATCCAGCAGAATTCATATGTCCCTTTGCTCAGATGTGAATGTTTTCACTCAGTTGTAGTTACTAAACATAACTACCCTTATTGTATTTATTATTAGTCTACAGTCAACCCCCTCTAATGTTCTAGAGTTTTTAAAATTGGGAATTAGTTACAGAAAGAAATTCAGTTAAATGATACAAATCTGAAACCCTGAGCGCTGTAATTCATGGTCTAACAGAGATGTGTGTTACTCAAGTGCCACATTAAGTGCTACATTAATTATCCTTATGATTCCTCTTATATTGAGACAACATATTTCCCTGTAGAGAGATGCCTTTTAGGACCCGAATTCAAAGGTCCTCAAACTTATTGGATCTTATGGGCTTGATTCTCCATATTTTGCACCTTGTGTTAAATGCTGCCATATTAGAATGGTAGTGTTTGTACCCACTGTGCACCTGTTGCAGGGCTGTGAAGAATCAGGCCCAATATCTTCAAGAGTTACTGCAACCAACCACTGCACAAGCTATAAAAGAGTTCTTATGTGCATGCTAGAAGAAAGCAAATTGAGTAGCCAACCCAGGTATAATAGGGCTTGGGGTAACTTTAGAATTAAACAAAGAAAATGGAAGCATGGGAAGATAATGGATGGAGGTGTGGGGCTTGAAACAGTTGTTCATAGTAACAAGAGAGTATATTTAAAGAAAAAAAGTTGACCCTAAATATACTAAGTGGTATTCTCCAGTTTTATACAGATATGAGTCCATTGACTTTAATGGGGTTACTCCTAACTTAGACTGGTGTGTGTGAGAGAATTAAACCCACTATCTCAGCTACAGAAAAAGGATCATGAATGCATTGGTGACTGAGCTGTAGATTTTGTTAGAGACTGTTTGGAATTTGATTTTTTTAAATAGTTTTTTTTACAGTTGACATTTAACCTGAATAGAGGTCTGACAATGTTCCCTTTGTTCTGAATACCAGCTGTGCAAACACTAAAGTAGTTGATTTTGTGCTTGGACTGAATCTAAGCATCTTGCTCCAGCAAAACTCCCATAGAAGCCAATAGTAGTAGGAGTCTGATCAGAGCCAGGAGCCCAGGATTTGTCCTTACACTTTATTACAGAGCCATTAGAAAAAAGTGACTTAGGGAATATGTATTAAATTGTAAAACAATGTAACTAATTTCTTTTCCAACTGTGAAACTATACATTTGTTTTAATGACAAAACAGGCTGCTGCTTTTTTTTTCTTGAAATATATTTGTTTTCCAAAAAGTTACAGAAGAAACTCCTGTACTGACTTACATATGCATACTTTTCTGTTCTTAAGGAGTGCATCAGTAGTTTCTTCATGGGTAAAATACCATCTATCGGTATAATTTAATTTCATAAAAAGCATTTAAACAAAACCTAAACTGTAAGTGGTTTGGCATCTTGTGGAAAAAAAATAAAAAGTCTAGATATTAAGGGCACTGTCAGAATTATGCAGCATGTAAAGAACTTTGTATATGATGACCTCTGGTTATTTTATTTTATTTTTTTTAATGTAAAGCCATCTAAGCCCCATAGTGGTCAGTAGCCCGTGTTTGTTAATTTTGGGGACATTTTATTTGCTTTGTCATTTTATAACTGACATGCTCAATATTTGCGCTGAACAATAATTGTGATTTCCTCCTGTTTTTCATGTCTGTACAGGTTACAGACCTGGGCTGGACCAGTTTAAAACAAAAAAGCCACTTGAAATTATGATGTATTTTGAGGTCAGACATCTTTAGAATGCTTCAATTTAAAGAAAATTCTATGGTATTGGAGAGGATTGTGATATGCTGCTTCTAAGGTTTTTTGTTTAAAAATACAACTTCCATATTTCATTTTTTTTAAGGGTTTACTTGAATGAAGAACCACACTTTTTATACAAATACTATACAGCTGTGGACACTGTGTGGCAGATGATTGAAGCCCAATTACTGTTGCAATATATTTCATACCAATAGTGAATTTGTATTTATTTTTTCTTTGGTCAAAGTTGTCTCCATTTATATAAGGCTCTATCTGTCCAAAATGTGTTGCACTCTGCAGATGTCATGTTTTTAGGTCTCCACTGATCAGACAAACTAATTAGAAATTGAGCCTAGGTGTAGAAACCTTTTGTTTGTGTGCAAGAGTCAGACCTAGTAGAGACTTTGGGCTTCCAGTAATTCTGATGTCACTTTACACTGGTATAACTCTGATTTCAGTGGAGTTACTCTTAATTCACAGCAGCATATGAGCTATCAGAATTAGGCCCTTCATTGGAAAAAGGTTCTCCAGTCTTTGTTTGCCTGTCCATGTGACACATGAAAATTAATTTATTCTCTTGCTAAGGCCTGGTCTACACTAGAAAATTGAGTCATCTTAACCATTTCATTCAGGGATGTGAAAAATCCACACCCCTGAGCAGCATAGTTAAGCCAACTTAACCTCAGCATAGACAGCACTAGGTCGAGGGAAGAATTCTTTTGTTGACGTAGGCACCACCTCTCAGGGAGATGGAGTACATACACTGACAGGAGAATCCCTGCTGTCAGCATAGGTAATGTCTACACTGAAGCTCTATAGTGGCCCAACTGTGCCTCTATAGCATACCAAGTGTAGACAAGCCCTGTGAAAGTTCCTGATTGCAAGCTGGTGACACTAATTGGCTGGTAAAACACCTATAATTCTAAATACTTGTTTTCTATTAACCAGCTTCATTCAGTTCTCAATTTCAGGAGTGCTATGGTCTTGCTTATCTTTTTTTGCTTCTGTTTTTAAGGCTTCAAGGATCTCTGCAGCTCACTAGTTTAAAGAAAGCTCTGTCCTCTTAAGAAGAGTTTCTCTCCCTACTCTATGATGACAGTTGGGTGCTTTAAGAAATCTGATCTCGGAAAAGATGGCTGTGCTCTTGACATAGCATTGGGAGTAGAACATTCATCTGAATTCTGAGTATCCTGGGGCACAGAATTCTAAAGGCATGAGATATGTCAGTTAGCCCTTGTGGCCAAAAATAAGAGTATATACAAAACAAAGAACTTTTTTTAAAAAACAAAACAAAACCTAGTTTACAAATTTAAACCATTTGTTCAGGAATTAGGCAAAATCTTGATAGAAGAGGTTCCTCCAGGGGAACGTTACTTGGGATTGTTCATTTTGTTTTCATAACACAAACACTTGTGCCAGTGCTCACAAAACTTGATGCTGAAACATGCTTCAAAACACATCTTACATTTTAAGTGCCCTTATTTTCACCCTAATGTGTTCGTTAGAGGTAATAAGTTAAAAAAAAAAATCACATGTCATACGGATCCTATTAAATAATCTGGCCAAAATCCCCATCTGATGTAAATTATGGTAGCACCATATTTCAGTGGAGCTATGCTGATTTACAGTATCTGAGAATCTTGCCCACTATCTGAAATTATCCAATCCATGGTCATACCCAGTAGCCCTGTTTTATTGAATAGCTCAGGCTGTGGAGAGACAAGTTGGGCAAGACTTGATCTTTAATAATCATCATATGCCTGTACTGCTCTCCTAGCTCATGAGGGCCCAAACCTGATTCTTCATAGCTGCAAATACATGCAATCCATCTCTAGGCTTGCTTTTAATTTTCTTGGATTCCTCAAGATTATCAACTGGCCAAAACTGTCTTAATGTTGTATTTTTAGTGGAAAAGGTCTAATCTTTTTCTGCCTTAAGGCCACCATGGTCTCAAAACTGCTTTAATTTCTTGTAAAGTTTCCCCTTCCTACTAGTGATAACTCAATATCCAGAGCACGACTGTCAAAGTCCACTGACTTAAGAGGTCGATATTTCCTATGTGCTCATCAACAGGGGGAGGAATTCTGTGCCTCCATATTTGGTAAAGAATGGAACACTTGACCACAAACTGACTTCCAAGACTCTTGTGCTTGGAATTTTGAAAGTAGATTTCATGTTGTCCTCATAACTGGTACTCACAGCTGCAAGAATTTTGGATGAATAGAGCCCAAGAGAGTGTATTCTGCTCTTGGTGCCCACATGTTATTCCCTTAAAACTAATGGAAATTGTGCCTGCATCAAGAGGAGAACATGGATACCCCCAAGTATTTACTTGAAATCTCTTAAAATGGAGACAATTCTTATCCTTTGACATAACTATTAGCTAGAGAAAAAATATTGCCCTGTAATTAGTTTGTCATTCTATGGATAAAGGTTCTGTGGTATAATACATTGTTCAACTTGGGGGGGAAAGGGGGGGGTTTAGTATTGGGCCAAAAGAGTATTTAAGACACAGCAAGATGCATGTGTTGTTGTATTGAGAATATAGTCTTGCAGTATCATTTTAAAATGTTCATTTTTTTCCTTTTTTGCTGTGCTACTCAAATAGCAAATATTTGGCCTATGCACTTATTGTAGTTTATGTTCATCGGAAACTGTAAAAAGTCTGCTTTTTATTTAACTTTGCAGTCTGTATCTCATCATGATGTGTATTTGTGTTTCATCACATTTTTGAGTGTTAATGTATATACTAAAAAGTAAATTTAAAATAATATGGTTGGTACAGTTTTGTATTCTGAAACATGCACATTCGTGGAAGAGTTAGTGCTCTAGAACTGAAGGAATTTCTGTGGATTTAGAGCACATTTTGGGTTTCATCTGATGCATTCCAAACAGTAAGGAGAAAGGAGCTACAGAGAAAATGTGTACACCTGTTCATCCAAAAAAAAAATTTTTTTTTTAGAAATAAGAATTGCATTGTGCTTGGATTTAGGAAGAGGCAATAGCTGCTCCATAGTTAAAGTTGAGACTTGATTCCCATTTATGTCTGATTTTTATCCTCAAAATAAGTCACTTGTACTTCAAATGTATGTGTTGTCTGTGACAAGAGGACAGACGTTTGCCCAAATTTGAGGTGTTTCAACCAAACAGTTTCTGAGAGGGCTTTAGATGTTTAGGTGTTGATTATGTTCTGAAAATTCTCCTAATTCTTTGTTCACTACAACTGCCACAAAAAAGGAATGTTATAGCAACATCATCATCAATAGCAACATTTGAAAGGTCTTGGTGATGTCTGCAAGACCAATTCTGAGAATGGGAAAAGCAAATTTGAGAACTTATTCACTGATGAAGTAAGAACATCAGAAAGGCTCCTTAGGCTCAGTGAAATTCAGAAAGGCTCCAGTCCTACTGATGACTCTTGTAAAGGTAGAGTTTCATTTTTTGTAAAGTAAGCCTTTTCTTTGCAGCGATAGCAGGTGTTTTATATTTCAAAGGGAGATCTATCAAAAGAATTTTTAAAAAAGGATGGGGAGGGTTGAGGGGAGATCACAGCCTAATCTATAACAAGATTCAGGCTCATCAAGGGATTCTGTACAAAGCTGACAGTGCTACTTGTTTTCTATCTCCATGCTTGTTTGAGTTGCTGCATGACCCTAGTAGCAAAGTGCTCACATCATGGCCTTCGTGAAGGGAGATATTTGTGTTAAAATGTTAAACCTATTGAACGGTAATCTACATTCTGAGGAATTTGATGATCTAAGTGAAACAACTGGACAAGACCCTACTCCAGGTCACATGATGACCAGACCTTAACAAGTGATGAACCCAGTGACCCATCTGGATATATAATTTGCTGTTTAATTTGTTTAAAACATCTTGTAAAGAAAAATAAGAGGTCAAAAATGTGAGATTATGTATTTTCTTTAACCTACAGCAGGAAGCTGGACATGAAGGGAGGGCTGGGGAAATCCCAGAATAGCTTTAGCAGTATTACTGCTTTCTTTTTTCTTTTTTTCTCCCTAGTTCCTTGTTCAGAGTTGGAAGACAGCAATTCTCTCAGTGATTGATTTTTTGGGGGGGGGCATTATCATATGATGTGCTCAGCCTAGTTTCACCTTTTTTTCTTGTTCTCAGAGCTCAGGTAGAACTGAGATCTATAGAGAATCATAGAATATCAGGGTTGGAAAGGACCCCAGGAGGTCATCTAGTCCAACCCCCTGCTCAAAAGCAGGACCAATCCCCAATTAAATCATCCCAGCCAGGGCTTTGTCAAGCCTGACCTTAAACTTCTAAGGAAGGAGATTCCACCACCTCCTTAGGCAACGCGTTCCAGTGTTTCACCACCCTCCTAGTGAAAAAGTTTTTCCTAATATCCAACCTAAACCTCCCCCACTGCAACTTGAGACCATTACTCCTTGTCCTGTCCTCTTCTACCACTGAGAATAATCTAGAACCATCCTCTCTGGAACCACCTCTCAGGTAGTTGAAAGCAGCTATCAAATCCCCCCTCATTCTTCTCTTCTGTAGACTAAACAATCCCAGTTCCCTCAGCCTCTCCTCATAACTCATATGTTCTAGACCCCTAATCATTTTTGTTGCCCTTTGCTGGACTCTTTCCAATTTATCCACATCCTTCTTGTAGTGTGGGGCCCAAAACTGGACACAGTACTCCAGATGAGGCCTCACCAATGTCGAATAGAGGGGGACGATCATGTCCCTCAATCTGCTCGCTATGCCCCTACTTATACATCCCAAAATGCCATTGCCCTTCTTGGCAACAAGGGCACACTGCTGCCTCATATCCAGCTTCTCATCCACTATCACCCCTAGGTCCTTTTCCGCAGAACTGCTGCCTAGCCATTCGGTCCCTAGTCTGTAGCTGTGCATTGGGTTCTTCCATCCTAAGTGCAGGACCCTGCACTTATCCTTATTGAACCTCATCAGATTTCTTTTGGCCCAATCCTCCAATTTGTCTAGGTCCCTCTGTATCCTATCACTGCCCTCCAGCGTATCTACCACTCCTCCCAGTTTAGTATCATCCGCAAATTTGCTGAGAGTGCAATCCACACCATCCTCCAGATCATTTATGAAGATATTGAACAAAACCGGCCCCAGGACCGACCCCTGGGGCACTCCACTTGACACCGGCTGCCAACTAGACATGGAGCCATTGATCACTACCCGTTGAGCCAGACAATCTAGCCAACTTTCTACCCACCTTATAGTGCATTCATCCAGCCCGTACTTCTTTAACTTGCTGACAAGAATACTGTGGGAGACCGTGTCAAAAGCTTTGCTAAAGTCAAGAAACAATACATCCACTGCTTTCCCTTTATCCACAGAACCAGTAATCTCATCATAGAAGGCGATTAGATTAGTCAAGCATGACCTTCCCTTGGTGAATCCATGCTGACTGTTCCTGATCACTTTCCTCTCATGTAAGTGCTTCAGGATTGATTCTTTGAGGACCTGCTCCATGATTTTTCCAGGGACTGAAGTGAGGCTGACTGGCCTGTAGTTTCCAGGATCATCCTCCTTCCCTTTTTTAAAGATTGGCACTACATTAGCCTTTTTCCAGTCATCCGGGACTTCCCCCGTTCGCCACGAGTTTTCAAAGATAATGGCCAATGGCTCTGCAATCACAGCCGCCAGTTCCTTTAGCACTCTCAGATGCAACTCGTCCGGCCCCATGGACTTGTGCACGTCCAGCTTTTCTAAATAGTCCCTAACCACCTCTTTCTCCACAGAGGGCTGGCCATCTATTCCCCATGTTGTGATGCCCAGCGCAGCAGTCTGGGAGCTGACCTTATTAGTGAAGACAGAGGCAAAAAAAGCATTGAGTACATTAGCTTTTTCCACATCCTCTGTCACTAGGTTGCCTCCCTCATTCATTAAGGGGCTCACACTTTCCTTGGCTTTCTTCTTGTTGCCAACTTACCTGAAGAAACCCTTCTTGTTACTCTTAACATCTCTCGCTAGCTGCAGCTCCAGGTGCAATTTGGCCCTCCTGATTTCATTCCTACATGCCCGAGCAATATTTTTATACTCTTCCCTGGTCATATGTCCAACCTTCCACTTCTTGTAAGCTTCTTTTTTATGTTTAAGATCCGCTAGGATTTCACCGTTAAGCCAAGCTGATCGCCTGCCATATTTACTATTAGAATGAGTATCCCCCTCCACATACAGCCCTGGCCATGCCCAATGAAAAGCAGTTCTGTTAGCCAGGACCCTTTTGTGGCCTTGCAGGGGAGAAGGCTACCTTGAGTTAAATGAGATTTTTTTCAAAGATGCATAAGGGATTTAGATATTCAATTCCTATTAATTTTAATAGGACCAGTGAGTCCAAATTCCCTGTCTTTGAAGATCTCAACCAAATGCATAAATTATGCAACTTTTAAAATACATGAATTACTTAACCCACCCTATCATGTGGCTAAAATATGGAACACTTAAATCCATATACAGCCACCTGTGGGTTGAAACTAGGCAGCTGTTTCTCACCCTAGAGTGACTATGCATGATATTTGAGAAGAAGTGCAGAATATCCTATTCAGTTGCTGGAATGTAGATAGTTAAAATGCACTTATCAGAATAAGGATTTGGCCTGGATCCCATAGTTAACATCCTGTCTCTTGTTAAAAGTGCCATTGGGTATTCAGTGATCACCAAATAGACTGACATCTTCCATAACAGAGGTTGTCCTTCATCAACTGTAGCTTCCGCTCACGGGAAGCAAGCTAAAGCTTTAAAACAGAAATCCATAAAGTACTTTAATCTCGCAGTGCCTGGCACAATGATGCCCATTTTGATTAGCCCCTCTAGGGACTACTGGAATACAAATAGTGGTCATACTTCAGAGTAAGGTTCCATTTATAAATTGTTAGTAAATGATTAATATTTTAGTAAAGGGTTAATCATTATTAATCTGACAGCCCCCACTGTTCTTAGCTCCTGGAGGAGCTATGATCCCGCTATAATGGTAAGTCCTAGCTACTTCCCCAGTGTAATATAGAGGATGGATAGATAAGTCCATCAATGGCTATTAGCCCAGATGGACAGGGATACAACCCCATGCTCTGGGCTTCCCTAGCCTCTAACTGCCAGAAGCTTGGAGAGAATGACAGGATGGATTACTCTATAATTTCCCTTTTCTTTTAATTCCCTATGAAGCAGCTTGTTGAAAGACAAGATACTAGGCTAGATGGACCATTGGTCTGACCAGTATGGCTGCTTTTAATAGAGGATTCCCAATAAAAATTGAACCAAAAAAATAAAATATTCCATTCATTTATGCTCTTGGTATTTTCATCACCTCAGGAAATTTCTGTGTATAAAAATCAAGCAGACAAGAATGGAATAAAGCTTTTTTGAAACATGGGGCCTGTATCCTAAATGTGAAAATGATCATATGAGTCTACAATCCATTTCAGTTGCAAAGACAAGTCCAGCAAATATAGGGATAGTGCTGGGGTGAAAAAAACTCATCTAAGCTATTAATGTTGCAAACTGGGCTCATTCCACAATTTACAGGCCAGGAGAAAGCTATGGTACTTGGAAATCTTCCAAATGTCACTGCTTAGTAGCTATAATTCAAAACACAATGTTCATTGAGCCATCCAGCTTCCATATTTTGCTATAGCACACTTCAGCTCTGAAGTTGTCACCTGTTTAATTAACATTAGATATTTATGTGATGTCACAATGCAGATATCTAAAGTGGTTTTGTTTTGCAACAAATATTAAGCAATAAGTGTTTTCAAAATTAAAAGATGCACACAGATAACTGGGACAAAATTGGAATTGATTTTCCAGTGATAATTGAGCTCTTCAGTCATAATACAGGAGCTGTAAAGAAAAGAGACAGCATCTTAAAGAAGATATCTACAAGTTAATAAAAGTAACAAGTTTATAACAAAACTGTAATGAATAAGACTTAATACAGAAAGAAGTACACAATTTGCTCCAAAATTTAAAAATGAAATCAATAGCAAACCTCCCATTTACTTAAATAGGGCTAGGATTTCACCCAAAGTGGGGCTGATTCAGGACCACTTTGGAGGGCTAATCCTGAGATGTGCTGAGCACCTTGAATTTCAATTTTCAACCTAACAGGAGGCATTTAGCAACTCTCAGAGGGTGCAGAGCACCTGAAATAATTGGGTTCTAAATTATACCCTGATAATGGCAGAAAAAAGTGCCTAAATCAGTAGATTGCTTTGTTCACAAAGTGTTTTATTAGTATAGTACATGATCAAAGTTTAAATCTTTTTAAACAAGAAACAGACATGTCCTGGGTAGGTTGTTTGCTCTGGTGGGTTGTGTGTTTTTTTTTGTTTTTTGTTTTTTTTTTAAAACCGTATCAGAAACTTGGTGAAAGTCTCTGTTGATCTTAGCAATCTGGGAGTTTTCCCCATTGATTTCAATAGGACCAGGATTTCACCCTAAGAGTTTTCAGCTGTGTTATTAGGCCCAAACTTTGTTGTTCATCAACAACCTAGATAACAGCACAGTTCTCCTTGTGTGCTCAAAAACAATGAGAGAGTCTGTCCATCCATCCCCCCTCACATCACCCCCTAAGATAGGACATAGAAGGCAGTTCTATTATGGTCTTGACCCAGCAGCAACATTTCTCTGCCTCCTCTTGTCCCCAGCTTTCTCTTCCTGACATCCAGCAGCACGAGTTTCCCTGACACCCTGCACCCGCTGCTCCAGGACCCTCTCACTGCACTAGGGCCATAGATGAAGTCAGGGATCAGTGGCAGGGCAAGTCTATGTGCTCAGTCCCACCCTCTAGGCTCTCACAAACAGCTTCCCCAAGTGCCTAGCCCTGGGGGGAAAAACACACACACACATACTTCTGTATTTAGCGTATTGGTGCTGATGGACCACCACTAACATTTAATTATTAGAAACAAGAACTATTCCCAAAGGGTAAACTAGAGGGGGGAGCACCAGGACAGCATGTGTCTATGGGTAGGACACTAGACTGGGGCTCAAACCTAAGTTCTCTTCCTGGTTCTGCTTCTGACCTTTTGTATGATTATGGGCAAATCACTTCACCTCTGAGTGCCTCTGTTTTCCCCTCCCACCTTTGTCTGTCTCATCTAGTTAGACTGTAAGCTCTCAGAGCAGGGAATGGCTCTTCCTATGTATTTGTATAGCACTTAGCAGAAACATTATTTGTAGGACTCTCATGCGATTAATCGCACTGTTAAACAACAATAGAATACCATTTATTTAAATATTTTTGGATGTTTTCTACATTTTCAAATATATTGATTTCCATTATAACAATACAAAGAGTACAGTGCTCACTATTTTTATTACAAATATGTGAACTGTAAAAAACAATTGTATTTTTCAATTCACCTAGTACAAGCACTGTAGTGCAATCTCTATCATATGAAAGTTGAACTTACAAATGTAGAATTTATGTACAAAAAAATAACTGCAATCAAAAATAAAACAATGTAAAACTTACAAGTCCACTCAGTCCTATTTCTTGTTCAGCCAATCACTCAGACAAATAAGTTGTTTACATTTGCGGGAGATAATGCTGCCTGCTTCTTGTTCACAATGTCACCTGAAAGTGAGAACAGGTGTTCTCATGGCACTGTTGTAGCTGGCATTGCAAGATATTTACATGCCAGATGCACAAAAGATTCATATATTCCTTCATGCTTCTATCACCATTCCAGAGGACATGTATCCATGCTGATGACGGGTTCTGCTCTATAGCAATCCAAAGCTGTGCGGACCAACGCATGTTCATTTTCATCATCGGAGTCAGATGCCACCAGCAGAAGGTTGATTTTTCTTTTTTAGTGGCTCAGGTTCTGTAGTTTCCGCATCGGAGTGTTGCTCTTTTAAGATTTCTGAAAGCAAGCTCCACACCTCATCCCTGTCAGATTTTGGAAGGCACTTCAGGTTCTTAAACCTTGGGTCAAGTGCTGTAGCTATCTTTAGAAATCTCAAATTGGTACCTTCTTTGCGTTTTGTCAAATCTGCAGCGAAAGTGTTCTTAAAATGAACATGTGCTGAGTAATAGCCGAGACTGCTAGAACATGAAATACATGGCAGAATGCACGTAAAATAGAGCCGGAGACCTGCAATTCTCCCCCAAAGAGTTCAGTCACAAATTAACGGATTTTTTTTTAACGAGCATCATCAGCATGGAAACATGTCCTCTAGAATGGTGGTTGATGCATGAAGGGGCATATGAATGTTTAGCATATCTGGCACATAAATACCTTGCAATGCCGGCTACAAAAGTCCCACACAAACACCTATTCTCACTTTCTGGTGACATAAATAAGAAGTGGGCAGCATTATCTCCCATAAATGTAAATAAACTTGTCTTAGCAAATGGCTGAACAAGAAGTAGGACTGAGTGGACTTCTAGGCTCTGAAGTTTTGCATTGTTTTGTTTTTGAGTGCAGCTATGTAACCCCCTCCCAAAAAAAAAATCTATATTTGGAAGTTGCACTTTCACGATAAAGACACTGAACTACAGTACATGTATGAGGTGAATTGAAAAATACTATTTCTTTTGTTACAAATATTTGCACTGTAAAAATGAAAAATACTATAAATGAGCAGTGTACACTGTAATCTGTGTTGTAATTGAAATCAATATATTTGAAAATGTAGAAAAGCTATAAAAATATTTAATAAATTTCAATTGGTATTCTATTGTTTAATAGAATACCAATTGTTTAATAGAATACCTACTAATACCTTCTGGGAGGAGGGATAGCTCAGTGGTTTGAGCATTGGCCTGCTAAACCCAGGGTTGTGAGTTCAATCCTTGAGGGGGCCATTTAGGGATCTGGGGCAAAAATTGGGGATTGGTCCTGCTTTGAGCAGGGGGTTGGACTAGATGACCTCCTGAGGTCCCTTCCAACCCTGATATTCTATGATTCTAATAATGTGATTAAAACTGATTAATTGCAATTCTTTTAATCACAATTAATTTTGAGTTAATCATGTGAGTTAACTGATTAATTGACAGCCCTAATTATTTGTATTAAAGTAGCACTTATAGGACTCAATTGAAATTGGGCCTGTTTTGCTAACAGCAGCAGCAGCTGCTGCTCCTCTCCCTGGCATGGATGAGCAGTGCTCTCCATCGCTTTTTGGCAGTTGGAGGAACACCACCTCATCTTATTCCACTCTTTCTATCCACTGGATATTGTAGCAATTTTTAGATTGGTTACAATCTAACCTTAGTGACCTTGTAACATTAGTATCTATATAATAAGATTTCAGGATTGCCACTCAGAAGCCTAGAATATCTGTTGTCAGTGTGCAGCAAGGGAAACCTCAGCAAGCCTGGCTGACAGCTCTTTTTGTTTAGACTATCACCAGGGTCAATCATCAGCCATTTTTAAACTTGTAAATTTTCCCATAAACAAAATGGCCACCATTTCCTATTACTGTCAGTGGGCCTGAAGTCTGCAAGATAGCCACCGTTTCCCTACAGTTAGTGTGCAGGTGAAAGCTAGGCTGCCCTTAGTAAAATTGGCTACCACCTCCCACTGTTTAATTGAATGGAAGGAAGCCATGTCCACAGGCAAACTAGCCATGACTCTATGGTTCAAGGGGCTAGACGGGACACAGGGACCAAGAGGACTAGCACAGCCACTGTGAATGGGGTGAGTGAGGTGGAACAGGGCCGTGGGTGGAGCAAGAGGCAGATTTACAGTTGCAAGGGGATGTGAGAGCCAGAGGAAGCCTGAGGGGGTGCAAAACACAGTGATGGGGGGATTGGATGGCAGCTCCCCCTGCTAAACTCTCATGAATTGATTGCAAGTCCTCCTGCAGGATTTTGGCACGTGCAGGAGAAGCTGTCATGATAATAAGAGCAACTCCTCCAATACTCTGATTTTCAGGGCTGTGCACGTAGGGAAGCTGTGCGTGAGAGCCTGGGGGCTGACTTCACAGACGGTCCCAGAGCAGTGGAAAGAAGGAGTCAGAGAAATGGTGTTGCTAGGTCCCAGACCAAGAAAGCTCAAGGGAGCAGAAGGCAGAGAAGTGTTGCTGCTAGGTTGAGACAATACATGGGGAACTGCCTTCCATTTCCTCTCTTAGGGGTAATTGGAATCTCCCTCTGAGCAGCTAAGGAGATGTGTGCATTTCTGTGTGTATTAAAGGTTGACTTTTCAACCTGAAATTCTCTCTCTCACATTCACAGATGAATAAAGGGAGTTTAAAAGTCCAAAAAAGAAAAGGAGTACTTGTGGCACCTTAGAGACTAACAAATATATTAGAGCATAAGCTTTCGTGAGCTACAGCTCACTCCATGGGATTCATACAGTGGAAAATATAGTGGGGAGATTTTATATACACAGAGAACATGAAACAATGGATGTTACCATACAGACTGTAACAAGAGTGATCAGGAAAGGTGAGCTATTACCAGCGGGAGAGTAGGGATTTGGTGGGGGGGAACCTTTTGTAGTGATAATCAAGGTAGGCCATTTCCAGCACCTGACAAGAACAGTAGGGAGGGAAATAAACAAGGGGAAATAGTTTTACTTTGTGTAATGACACATCCAGTCCCAGTCTTTATTCAAGCCTAAGTTAATTGTATCCAGTTTGCAAATTAATTCCAATTCTGCAGTCTCTCCTTGGAGTCCGTTTCTGAAGTTTTTTTGTTGAAGAATTGCCACTCTTAGGTCTGTAATCGAGTGACCAAAGAGATTGAAGTGTTCTCCGACTGGTTTTTGAATGTTATAATTCTTGACGTCAGATTTGTGCGCATTTATTCTTTTACGTAGAGACTGTCCAGTTTGGCCAATGTACATGGCAGAGGGGCATTGCTGGCATATATCACATTGGTAGATGTGCAGGTGAACGAGCCTCTGATAGTGTGGCTGATGTGATTAGGCCCTATGATGGTGTCCCCTGAATAGATATGTGAACACAGTTGGCAACGGGCTTTGTTGCAAGGATAGGTTCCTGGGTTAGTGGTTTTGTTGTGTGGTGTGTGGTTGCTGGTATTTGCTTCAGGTTGGGGGGCTGTCCGTAAGCAAGGACTGGCCTAACTCCTAAGATTTGTGTGAGTGATGGGTCGTCCTTCAGGATAGGTTGTAGATCCTTGATGATGCGTTGGAGAGGTTTTAGTTGGGGGCTGAAGGTGATGGCTAGTGGCGTTCTGTTATTTTCTTTGTTGGGCCTGTCCTATAGTAGGTAACCATGATTTCAACAATTTCCATCCCACCATCAACCTCAGCCTGGACCAGTCCACACAAGAGATCCACTTCCTGGACACTACAGTGCTAATAAGCGATGGTCACATAAACCCTATACCAGAAACCTACTGACCGCTATGCCTGCCTCCAGCTTTCATCCAGACCACACCACATGATCCATTGTCTACAGCCAAGCTCTATGATACAACCGCATTTGCTCCAACCCCTCAGACAGAGACAAACATCTACAAGATCTCTATCAAGCATTCTTACAACTACAATACCCACCTGCTGAAGTGAAGAAACAGATTGACAGAGCCAGAAGAGTACCCAGAAGTTACCTACTACAGGACAGGTCCAACATTTCAGTTTGACAATGTGCATGTTTTGGATTTGTATTCCTTCTCTGTTTAATATTTTCTTGCAGCAGTCAGTCACATATAACTTCACAAATTACACACGTGCAAATAGCATGGCCTTTCTGCTTGTTAAGCAAACATTGTACTGTTCAATGCATTGCCATGAAATTGAATTTCACATTAGACACACCTATTGATATATATCAAGTTTTCACTGTTTTAAAAGAGCTAAACAGGAGCCTATTTAGAACAGAGATAAGTTCCTGCCATGGGCAAACCACAACTGGGTCATAAGCCTCAAAGCTGCAAAAAACAGGATGAACTGTCTGAATTTGCTGGGTCTTTTCTATGCTTTTTCTGAAAGGTGTGAAAATATATGAGCCAAGCTACAGAAGATGGTAAAGTGAAATGTTCAGCTGATAAATTGTGCTTTGCAACTAAACAAAGGAGTTAATTGCAGACTTCAGGCAGTTACATTTTACCCACAAAAGACATGACATTAGATATAGAAGCCATCCTGAAGTACTCTAGTTATGAATAACATACATTTATCCTCTCAGTAGACTAAAATATGCAAAATATAATGCAGTGAAGCCATTGCATGCTTTGTGATTAAACTGACAGGATAGTCTATTTGGGGGGAAGGGTACACTGAGGCAGGGAGCTCCATTAACATGAAATTAATGCTCTGAAGTTTCCACTCAAAATATTCAAAACAACCTTTGCCTGGCTTCCATTTAATTTTGGGCCCAATTCCAAGTGCAATGAGTGTTTCCCATTCCCCCTACCCAGCTCTTGGATGAAGGGAGCATGGAGTGAGGCTGTCACAAGCATTCATGCTCCATCTCCTGCGGAGCCTGCTTTGTCCACGTGCAGCAACACTGTCCACTCCCCATGTACTCTTCCCCACCTGCCCATACTCTGCTCCCATGTCTTCCTATTTACCCCTATTCCAACTCCTGTGTATTGTAACTATGTCCCACTCCCCCAGACCCAGAATACCATATTTCATTTCTTCCATCTCTGTTCTGTTCCCAGGCCTCCTGTACCCAACTCTTCTCTTCTTCAGCCAACTCCCATATATAGCTCTTGTGACCCATACCCCTTATGTGCTCTGTGCTTAGACTTACCCATTGTAATACTGATGCACCCTCACATGTTGCCTGTTTGTTATACCAATAAAATAAAAACCAGCAGGATCTTATTAAAGAGGAAAAGGCCCTTTTTTAATCAGAAAGAATCATAGTAAGCGTTTTACGCTATAACATTCCATTCATATTGTGACCACATTCATTCTCACACACACACACACAGGTTCTGCAAGGTTGTTATCATAGTAAGCAGTTAGTTACAGCTATAACATTCCATTCAATCTCATATTTATTCACACATTCATTCTCACACACACACACACAGGTTCTGCAAGGTTGTTATCATAGTTACCAGCCTTAGAGTTGCTCATGCCAAGCCACTGGCCAGGTGGCCTGGACATGAGGAGGGAGCAGGGCCTTGTCACATGCTCATCTGATGCTCCTGGAAGTTGGTTTGCAGAATCAGACCCCAAAGTTCTCACTTTTTAGAGTCTATTTTTATAGGAATTTCTTCCTATGCCAGTCTATGGGAGTTGCTTCATCATGCTGTTGCTGAATCAATCAGCAGATAGCACATTCCTGACGGCTCCCTGCTGCTAGATGTTATCTTGTTCTTTGGTTCTCCCATTCTTGAGGCTGTTGGGTGGATTCCAGTCTGCCCTCCGGGGGTCCTCTGGTTATTTCCACTTGACGCCTTCTTCAGCCGATGGACACTGGATTCTTAGGCTGGCACCTCCCTGATCATTGTTATTATCCACACCAAGCATCCATCCACATACATCCTCTATCTCTATTTTAATCACAATTGTTAATACAACAAAAGGGCGGGGAGTCTCTGGGTGCTGTTTCTGTTGTTAGAGTATTGCTTTGAGTCTCTCTCTCTGTGAATTGCTTTGAGAACAGACTCTGTCTTAGAATGTACTAACACAATTAGCAGCTTGCAAGTTTCACACATAGAGGGAGAGAAACAGTACCAAAAACCAAGAGACCTCTTAATTAGTAATACCCTGGAATTTAAACTATGGGGAATCAAACTCATTTGTGATTTTAATACAGAACTTCTTTAATATGTTCAGAACTTCAGGGCTGCTCGTATTGCCTGGCAGGCTGCTCTCTTAACCTCTAGAGCCCGCTGAGGTCAGCCTGACTGGTAGACAGCCACCTGAACCTGCATCTCTTGCTCTGTCCCCTCATGGCCTGGCAACAAATCACAACAGAAGACTCCATCCAGCAGGAACTTCAGCCACCGCAGTGCCTTCACCTCCTGCTCTAGATCCAGCTCTGGGTCTGCTTGCACAATCACCCCAACCAGGGCCACTGGGATTAGATACATCTCTTCAGCTGCTGTAGCATCTCCAGCAATCGGTCTAGCCCAACCCAGCGTGTCAAGGAGGAGACTCTGCACAGGAAGAAGATAAGCTGTGAGTAGATTCTGTCCTGGTGCCTGGAGCAGCTGAATTCATGGAGTGAGAGGCCTCTCTCAGCCCTGCGGATGGTCACTTGATTACAGGCCACTGTGCTAGTCGCACGGAATGCTGGTATGGGGAACTTAGCAAACACTTCCTGTTGAAACTCTTCCACTGTGTGTTGCCTCTGCAATTCCCCGACCAGGTGTACATTATCCCCCATCATAAACTGCAGGGTCACAAACTCCAATTCTGTCTTCTCATCTTGGGGAAGAGCAGAAGTGGCAACCACTGCCAACAGGTCCTTCACCAGCTTCATGCCAACTTCCTGGCCTTCCCAAGCCCGCTCCGTGACCTCTGCCTGGGCTCCTCCATCCAGCTCTGTGACTTCCACCTGGGCTCCTACAGCCAGCTCCATCCTCTTCCCTTTGTCTCCTCCAGCCTGCTCCATGACCTCTACCCAGGCTCTTCCATCCAACTCCATGATCTTCCCTTGGGCTCCCACAGTCTGCTCTGTGACCACTTCTTGGGCTCTTCCATCCAGCTCCATGATCTTCTCTTGGGCTCCCCCAGCCTGCTCTGTGACCTCTGCCTGGGCTCTTCCACTCAACTCCATGATCTTCCCTTGGGCTGCCGCAGCTTGCTCTGTGCCTTCCTCCCAGGCTCTTCCATCCAGCTCCATGATCTTCCCTTGGGCTCCCATAGCCTGTCTGTGATTTCCTCCTGGAGTCTTCCATCCAGCTCCATGATCTGCCCTCGGGTTCCCCCAGCCTGCTGCATGACCTCCTCCCAAGCTCCCCCTTCTCGTTCCATATGCCTCTCCTGAGTTCCTCCATTCATCTCCATAATGTCCACTCAGGCTCTTCCCTCCTGTTCGGCTTTTTTCTGGCTCCCTCTTTCCTCTCTCCATTTCCTCCCACCTCTGACTGTTGATAACTTGTTGCTAGCGATGTGGACCCTTTGGTGTCACAATACATACCCACCTGACTCACTCCTTCCTACAGTAGAGGCTGAAGGTACACATCCTCATTCTCCTTCATAGCCTTACACTGACTTTTTCCCAAAAGCCTTTTTCAGGTCAATAAACAGGCAAAGGTAGATAATGTGAAACCTTTCCCTGACCAAAAAATCAGTTATATCAGTGGTTCTCAAACTTTTGTACTGGTGACCCCTTTCAAATAGCAAGCCTCTGAGTGCGACCCCCCCTTATAAATTAAAAACACTTTTTTATATATTTAACACCATTATAAATGCTGGATGCAAAGTGGCGTTTGGGGTGGAGGGTGACAGCTCGTCCCCATGTAATAACCTCATGACCCCAGGGGGTCCTAACCCCCAGTTTGAGAACCTCTGAGTTTTACCCTTTGGATTAAAAAAAAGAAATAGGCCCACTCTACAAAAAGGAACTGAAGGATCCACCTTGATACACAGTCCTGCCCATCTGATATCTGAGAGAACAGGAAAAAGAAAACAAGGAAAATACCTTTGGAGAAAGGAAAGAGACTCCAGTACAGCCTCACAATATCTGGCCTCCATCTTGCTACCAAATCAGAAATGGACAGCATTAAAAAATGGGCACGTGTAGTCAAAGATCCATCTTGATTAATTTTGGCTACACTTCGATACCATTACATCAAACAATGCCATTGATGTTGATTAGCATTTCATGATAGGCAGCTGCTGTCTGTGTTCAAAGGGATATGCTGGGAATGTGAGTGATATGGGGATATGCTGGGTGTGTGAACAGGAACCTGTATCTCATCACCAGGAGAGAATGTAGAAATAACACAATGTGAATATCCAACAGATTGTCATGGAACAAACCCTCAGCTAATCCAATGGTTTGATTGGGACAAACATTTTCTCCTCAATTTCCTGCCACTGAGAAATATTTCTTGGCTAGTCCCAACTGTTTGTTTCTCTATCTCCTGGTCTCATTTCATGTGCTCTTGAATGACAGATTTTCTCTACAGTCAGTAGCCAACATGGATACTATGAAGAAAGGAGCATCAGAAATATCCAAAATAGATCAATTAGATTATGAATGTATAAACACACATTCTGGTTTCAGAGTAACAGCCGTGTTAGTCTGTATTCGCAAAAAGAAAAGGAGTACTTGTGGCACCTTAGAGACTAACCAATTTATTTGAGCATAAGCTTTCGTGAGCTACAGCTCACTTCATCGGATGCATACTGTGGAAAGTGTAGAAGATCTTTCTATACACACAATTGCTGCTATTACCAATAGGAGAGTGGCTTTGTGTGTGTGGGGTGGGGAGAGAACCTGGATTTGTGCTGGAAATGGCCCAACTTGATTATCATACACATTGTAAGGAGAGTGATCACTTTAGATAAGCTATTACCAGCAGGAGAGTGGGGTGGGGGGAGGTATTTTTTCATGCTTTGTGTGTATAAAAAGATCTTCTGCACTTTCCACAGTATGCATCCGATGAAGTGAGCTGTAGCTCACGAAAGCTTATGCTCAAATAAATTGGTTAGTCTCTAAGGTGCCACAAGTACTCCTGTTCTTTTTACATTCTGGTTTATTTATCAAAAGTGAATGTGAGAATCCCATCCAGATCTCTGAATGAACATAGTATACACTTAAATTAGTACTTAAAAACAAACAGCAAACACACACAATATACACTCTACTTGCACTATTGAAGTAAATGAGATTTTTGACACTTACTGCACTGGACACAGGAATAGGCCTAAAGAATAGACAACACTTGCAGATTTACAAAAGGAAAGAGAAGACATGACATAGGTATAAAATCAATGCGAAATGAGAATTAGGACAAGACATAAATATTCTCTCATAGCACTGTTAACATCTTTAATATCTACATGTTGGCTTCTTGACAGTGACTCTCTCAAGATCATTATTACATAGCCATTTTTTTCAAGGTATCCCTCAGACTGCACAAACCTTGCTAGCATGGAATCCCACCCCAACAAACCCTGGTTTGGTCCTAGGTAAGCTCCCATAGCAACGTTCTAGGGGTAGTAACATTCCAGTGGGGACACTGCTACTTCAAGTGACAATTCTTCCCTTAACCCTGGCATATAAAAATATAAGACACATCCACACAAATGAACACACACAAATACGCTATTCTGTGAAGTGAAAGGTGGCACCTCTAGCAGTTTAGTGCCCCCCATGGCGTGCTGGGGCCTTGGCTTGACAGAGGGAAGAGTAGCACCAACTGTGTTACAACAGCACCTTTAAGAAGCAGCAATCAGTTCCATAGAATCCTAGAATATCAGGGTTGGAAGGGACCTCAGGAGGTCATCTAGTCCAACCCCCTGCTCAAAGCAGGACCAATCCCCAACTAAATCATCCCAGCCAGGGCTTTGTCAAGCCTGACCTTTAAAACCTCTAAGGAAGGAGATTCCACCACCTCCCTAGGTAACCCATTCCAGTGTTTCACCACCCTCCTAGTGAAAAAGTTTTTCCTAATATCCAACCTAAACCTCTCCCACTGCAACTTGAGACCATTACTCCTTGTTCTGTCATCTGGTACCACTGAGAACAGTCTAGATCCATCCTCTTTGGAACCCCCTTTCAGGTAGTTGAAAGCAGCTATCAAATCCCTCCTCATTCTTCTCTTCTGCAGACTAAATAATCTCAGTTCCCTCAGCCTCTCCTCATAAGTCATGTGCTCCAGCCCCCTAATCATTTTTGTTGCCCTCCTCTGGACTCTTTCCAATTTTTTAACATCCTTCTTGTAGCATAGGGCCCAAAACTGGACACAGTACTCCAGATGAGGCCTCACCAATGCCGAAGAGGGGAATGATCACGTCCCTCCATCTGCTGGCAATGCTCCTACTTATACAGCCTAAATTGCCGTTAGCCTTCTTGGCAACAAAGGCACACTGTTGACTCATGTCCTGAGGTTCCTTCCAACCCTGATTCTATGGGGCCCTAAGGGACATATAGCGTCCACTGTAACCCCTAGGTCCTTTTCTGCAGAACTGCTGCCTAGCCACTTGGTCCTGAGTCTGTAACAGTGCATGGGATTCTTCCATCTTAAGTGCAGGACTCTGCACTTGTCCTTGTTGAACCTCATCAGATTTCTTCAGGCCCAATCCTCTAATTTGTCTAGGTCCCTCTGTATCCTATCCCTACCCTCCAGTGTATCTACCACTCCTCCCAGTTTAGGGTCATCTGCAAACTTGCTGAGGGTGCAGTCCATGCCATCCTCCAGATCATTAATGAAGATATTGAACAAAACCAGCCCCAGGACCGACCCAGGGAGCACTCCACTTGATACTGGCTGCCAACTAGACATGGAGCCATTGATTGCTACCCTTTGAGCCCAATGATCTAGCCAGCTTTCTATCCACCTTATAGTCCATTCATCCAGCCCATACTTCTTTAACTTGCTGGCAAGAATACTGTGGGAGACCGTATCAAAAGTGCTCCTTGGGGGAAGGTTTTTTTTTTTTTTTTTTTAAGATAAAAAATTAATAGGATGATCATTTAAAAAGAAGAGAAAATAAAATACAGCGTCAGTGGGAAAAGTAACTCCATGGGCTATCAGGCTGGGGATGGGAGTTTGGTTGGGTTTCTCAACCACAGGGTCCATCTATAAGGGCTATGTGGGGGAACAGCTCCCTTGGGTGGTGTCCAGATGAGGGTGGGATCCCTTAGTTCTCCTGAGGATTCCATATGTAAGAGTGCTATGGGGAAAGGGCTCCCTTAATTTCCTTCTGGGGTTGTTCCCCCCCCAAGGAGATTTCTATGCAAATGGGGCTGGGTTCCTTTGTTCCTCTGGGGGAATGATGGCATGGCTATGGGCATGGGTTCCTTCAGTTTACTTGGAGAAGGTGGTTCTCGGGGCTGGGGGGGGTAGTTACCTGTGGTTAGCGGCATGGCTTTTGGGGTGGTTCTCCTGAGGGGTGGGTCCTCTGTGAGGGGTGGCATGGCTATGTGTCTGCACTGGGTCCCCAGTGAGGGTATACTATGGAACTGCTCCTCTGGGGGTATAGATATAGGGCACCATGGTAATTGGGCTGGGCCCCCAGGGGGTATGGCAATGGGGCAGTATGGCTATAGGGCTGGGACCCCAGGAGGTATGGCAATGGGACTAGGGCCCCGAGGGGGGAGGGAAATGGCTGGGGGGAGTATGGCTATAGGACTGGGCCCCTGGGATATATTGCTATGTGGTTAGGGCTCTGGGGCGAGGGGAATGGCTGGGGAGCTATGGCTATAGGGCTGGGGCCCCAGGAGGCATATGGCAATAGGGTTAGGGGCCCGGGGGGGGGGGGAGCGGCTGGGGTCCCAGGGGACATATGGCTATAGGGCAGCATGGCTTTAGGGCTGGGGCCCCAGGAGGCATATGGCAATAGGGTTAGGGCCCCAGGGCGAGGGGAGCGGCTGGGGGAGGTATGGCTATAGGGCTGGGGTCCCAGGGGACATATGGCTATGGGGCAGCATGGCTATAGGGCTGGGACCCCAGGAGGCATATGGCAATAGGGTTAGGGCCCCGGGGGGAGGGGAGTGGCTGGGGGGGGTATGGCTATAGGGCTGGGGTCCCAGGGGACATATGGCTATGGGGCAGCATGGCTATAGGGCTGGGGCCCCAGGAGGCATATGGCAATAGGGTTAGGGCCCCAGGGCAAGGGGAGCGGCTGGGGGAGATATGGCTATAGGGCTGGGGTCCCAGGAGACATATGGCTATGGGGCGGTATGGCTATAGGGCTGTGCCCCAGGGCGGGTATAGCTATAGGGCTGTAGCCCCAGCCGGGACGGCGAAGGGCCTGGCGGTTACCTGGGAGGGGGAGGGCGGGTTCCACTCCACAGCAGCCTGCGCGGCTTTCCTCCCGCCGGCTGCGGTAAGGCGGCGGTGCCGGCAGGGGGCGCAAGGGGCTCGCCTACAGGGTGGCTGCGCCTGGGCCCAGCCCCGTCCCGCCCCTTCCCCTGCGGCCACGGTCGGTTCCGGCGGCGGCTGGGGCCTGCAGCAGGGCGCGGAGCGGAAGGTGAGCGCGGGGTGCGGGCTGGGCTGGGGTGCCGGCCCGCCCGGAGTAACCGCGGCCTCCTCCGTCCCCATGGCCCCGCCTGGGCTCCCCCCCTTCCAGCCCCTCTTCTCAGCTTCTGGCCCCAACACCGCTGCCCCATCGCCCTCCCCACGGGCCCCCGTTCCCGGCCCCCGGGGCTCCAGGCCGCGTTTGCTCTAAAAGTCCCGCTGAACCGCGCAGGGCAGCGCGCCTTCCCTCCCCGGCGGCCCCGGCTTCCCTGGGGACTTTCAGGTCCCGCTGGCAGCCTCCCGGCCCCGGGGGTTGCCGTGTGGCAGCCCCCGGCAAGCTTGTTCCCCCCCCCCCCCCTTTCGTTGTCCCCCACACCCTGGGGGGCTGTGTCTCATGGGGTGGCGGGGGGCAGCTTCAGGCTTAGCTCTGGGGCAAGGCTCCTAGCAAAGCTCTCTGCGTGTCGGTACAATCATGTCTAAGAAAACCCCGCATTAGGTAACCGCTTCATGAGGCCAATTAAGGCGTAGACTCCAAACACCCCCCCCCCCAAAAAAAAAGCCTTGACTTCCCCCTCTCCAGCCACCTTCCCCCCCCAAAACCTGCGGAAATAGGCCCTGGGAGGCCCACAAATGCTGGTTGTGTCAGACCAGCAGAATAGAGTTTGAGACAAAGTGGGTTTTCATTAAAAATGTCCTACCTGTCCCCTCCCATTTACATCTGGAGCTGTTAGCTCTAGTGATCCCAACTTTTTGAGGTAGAATATGGAGCTGTTTGTTTCTTTCCTCCTTAATCTGTTCTCAGAATCCACTTCTGTGTGAGCTCCTCTTCCTCCTGACTAGTCAGGCCACAGTTGGTGTCACTGCCTAGAAGGGAAAACATTGTGTTTTGGGTCAGGCCCTGTATATGTATGTTGACGCTGAGGAAGACCCAGAATATGATGTGTTCTGAGATTTCACCTCAAAGGAGGCTGTGTTCTATTGATGGCCAATATGTCACAGCTATTTCAAGAATCATCTCCATCTGTTTGTCTGTTGTAGGCTAATAAGGGGCAGCAAAAGGCAACAAGTTTCTGCAGAAGTTGAAATAAGCCCCTTTGATATATATATATCTTGTATGACTCCCAACTTTTTATATTGCTTTCTGATTGATCTCTGATTTCCCTGTATTTGTCGGTATTTGGGATACTTCTTACTCTGATATTTTTCACTCCATGTTTCCAGGATTTTAAAATATTACTGCTGCATAACTTACATTTTTCTCTTGCAGATACTTTCTCCACATTTGGATGTTGTATAGCAATCAATTTCTTAGATATTAGTCCTCTTGCTGATATTGAAGATTACCTCTAGTAAGTTGGGTGGGCCAGGGCTCTTTTTAGTGTTTTCAACATGTAAACATTTTATGCATTTTGGGGAGAAGTCCTCCAGAGTCTCCCCCAAAAAGCCCACTTCAGGGGTAATCTCCAACAAAAGATGGCAGGAGTTGGCTCTAAAAATGCCACTTCCTGTGTCATGTCGACCACTTGACAGTGACTCAAAGTGCTGATCGTCCCTCCTTATGGGGTGAACTCCATTACTCTTCTATCCCAAGGAATGAGGTATGAAACCAGAGTGTAGTGTGTGTGTGCTTAGCACTTGTTTCTGTCACAGTATTACAAAACTATTCGGGATGGTGGGAGGCAAAAAATGGTAACTTGAGAGACGTTGGGGCTTTCAAAAAAGCCTATGTCGTTAAGAAGCACAAGTCAATGGGACTAGTGCTTCGGGCTTGTCTACACTACTACTCTTGTCGGTATAACTTATGTTGCTCAGGGGCATGAAAAAAAACCCTCTGAGTGACATAAATTACACCAACAGAAGTGCCAGTGTGGACAGCACTATGTCAGCAGGAGAGCTTCTTCCATCAACATACCTATCGCTGCTCGTGGAGGTGGTTTTATTATGTTGACCAGAGAACTCTCTCCCATTGGCGTAGAGCGGCTACATGAGCGATTTTGCAGTGGCGCAGCTGCATTGGTACAGCTGCGACACTGTAAGCTCACTAGTGTAGATGTGGCCTTAGGCACTTTTGAAACCCATTAAGTATAATGTAGTCACCCAGCACCAGTGAATATATCTAAAAAGAAAACTATGGCCCTGACTCTTTTGGTAGCTCCATATGAGCAGATGTCAGTACCCATATGGCAGCCTCACTGAAGCCAAGCCCTCTGGTCATACCTGGGTGTCTGAGCCCACAAAGTGGTAAACCCTGCTCTGACCTCAGAACCAGGTATAGCTTGGGAAGCTGCAGTACAGCGTTCTTCATTCTGCTGTAGTGGTGTGTCTGTGCCTTGATTGGATGCATCCACCTCTACAGATGAGAGGGTAGTTCAGTCTCCATGCTCATTCAACTTAAACCAAAAAAAAAAATAGGGACAGAACATGAATTTTTATCTTGCAGATTAGTGTCATTTCACACAGAATTGAACATTAGTTTAATTTTTGTGATAAGGAATTTAGCTTTTGGGGAGTCTGTTTCTGTGCTTTGCTGGTGTACTGAGATTAATAATTAATCTTTAAGCACTGATTCATGATTGCAAACCAGCAAAAATTGGTGTAACCAGTTCTTGGATATTGTCATTTTTAATTGATTTAGGCTGAAGCAAAATGAATGAACATCCTAAAAAGAGGAAAAGGAAGACTTTACATCCTTCACGTTACTCAGGTGAGTCTACAGCTTGAACTGTTGACACTTCAGTGTGTAAGTTACTGTAACTTTCCTCAAAATAAACCTCTTTCGTTTCCTGGAAAACTAAAATGCAAGAATTTGTGAAGGACTCATAAACTAAGAGGCGAATTCAAATACATTCATGTGAACGTACACTGTTCCTTTGAAAAAAGAACAGGAGTACTTGTGGCACCTTAGAGACTAACCGATTTATTTGAGCATAAGCTTTCGTGAGCTACAGCTCACTTCATCGGATGTAGCTCACGAAAGCTTATTCTCAAATAAATTTGTTAGTCTCTAAGGTGCCACAAGTACTCCTTTTCTTTTTACGGATACAGACTAACATGGCTGCTACTCTGTTCCCTATGAGTGCACCACTGTTAAACAATTTTAAAACTGTTCCATTTAAGCCAGCCATTGTTAATGTTTCTCTAGTCATTTGCTGTTCCCCATTTCCTCAGTGGCTTTGGGAAAGCTACTTAACTTCTGCGTCCCTATCTGTAAAATGGGGGCAAAGCTACTAACACAGGTGTTTAGGGGAGATTATCAAAAGTGTTGGTCTAACTCTGCTCCCATTGAAGTCAGGGAGTATTACTGTTGATTTCAGTTGGATCAGAGTTAGACTAATGTTGAGTGCTTTTAAAAAACATTAATGTCTGTACAGTGCATTGAAGATGTAAATCATTATATAAATGCTAAATATTTTTAGTATTAGGCCATCCATGGTCTTTTAAATTTGGATGCTGTCTAAGAAACATCGATGTTACCACTGAGGTAAATGTGTATTTTAAAGGTATGTGTTGCTATATCAACTTGTGGTTTAAACACTTTTTTCTTTTTCTGTCTAGATTCTTCAGGTGTAAGCAAATATATAGACAACAATGGAATCTTTTCTGATCACTGCTATAGTGTCTGTTCTATGAAACAGCCAGACATTAAAATTTCTGAAAACAGAGGTAAGATTACCTTCCTAGTATATTATTAATCTCCTCTGACAAACACTTATCTAGGTGTATCAAAGTTCTGTCCAGAAAAGCAGCAACATAATGCAAAAAAATGCAACAACTTTCCTATGTAAGTACATTTAATTTTCCACTCTCCAAGACTGGCAGAAGGCTATTAAATAATTTTATTTGAAATTCTATTTCTCAATAAGGTATAACATTTTAATAAAAATATAGAAATATTGGAGGCCTGGCAGTTCCCGGTATTTATGACAACAATTGGACTTCACAAGTTAAAACATTTGTTGAATGGTGTCAAAATAATGTAAAGAAAGATTGGAGTCAGATGGAACAGGGTGCTTTATCAGAAATTTCTTTTAACTATTTGATTTGGGTATCTAAAGACCAACTTCATTATACAAGTGCCCACTACTTAGTGTTACCCTTGAAGTATAGGATGGAGTGAATGTAAGGATACACTTCCTTTCTGTCTCCAATAAAATTAACACTGAATCTCCAGCATTATAATTGAAGTATTGGAATAGGAAGGACTGTGCAGTTGGAAGCATTGGAATAACTTTTGCTCTGCCTCTTTAGAAATTTAAAATTAAAAAGGATTGTAAAAGATTTTTCCGCATAATCAGCTATAGCTATTTACTGCTAAAACTTGTTTGCGGAGAGAGAAATTTATTAGCTTTTGAATCTGTTGGTCAATGTTAATCTGGGCATAAATAATTTCTAGAGCTCTCACATAGGTCTTTGTACATATTTCATATATAAAGAGAAAACAATGGAACTCTGGAATAAATAATTAGAAACTCCATTATCAGACATTTAGTGAAAAGCTGCATAGTGTAGAGGAAACAATTCAGTTTATACCACAATACAGGAAAACCTCAGTAAAATTATGTATTAATGGTATTTAACTCAATCAGATTATACATAATACAGTATATGGCAGTGGTTCTCAAAGCCAGTCTGCCACTTGGTCAGGGAAGGCTCCTGGTGGGCCGGACCGGTTTGTTTACCTGCCGTGCTCGCATGTTCGGCCGATCGCAGCTCTCACTGACCACGATTCGCCGCTCCAGGCCAATGGGGGCTGCGGGAAGCAGTTGGCCTGGAGCGGCGAACCGTGGCCAGTGGGAGCCGCGATTGGCCAAACCTGCGAGCATGGCAGGTAAACAAACTGGTCCGTCCCGCCAGGGGCTTTCCCTGAACA